GTGAAGAAGGTCAAGATGATTCTATAGCGCCGATATTTAATCAGTGGTTCCATCTATCATGAGATCATGTTCCTCGTGGAATCAAGCTGATTCTTTCCCCTTTTTTTTTTTATTGTTAACTTATTTAATTTTTAAATCATTTTATTATGAAATTAAGTACAAAATTATTTTGTACGAATCACTGTTTACCTATAAATTTGTTGGATTAAAAGTCTCCAATCTAATCACATCAATAAAAATAAAATCAAATAATAAATCAAACACACAAGAGATAATAATTTAACGTGATTCGATTTAACTGATTTACATCTACGGATAAAAAATAAGATACATTAATTGTAGAGAATTACAAATTTACATCAAATTATCAACCTCACTCAACAATCAATACTCATAAGACATTCTCAATCTCTTATAGTCTTATGGAGTATTTTCAACCAAAATAAATATAAATCTAAATTTTTTTGTATCATTTTAACATAATCAAACACATACTCATTTACCCTCATACATCATACTTATGTGGACTCTCTCAGTCTTTTTTAATCCACTTACAAACAAACATACACACCTATAAGACGTAGAGCCTCAATACTGCTATGGGGTATCTATCTCATAAAATTGTACAATTCTCTTACATCTTTTTTTCATACTTTTTCATACCTAACCCTATAGAGACTTTACATATTTATAATTATACAAACTTATTCATTAAGAATCCTTCTCCTTTTAGAATTCTTCTCTTGTAAGTTAAATTTACCTATTAAGAATCTATTTCCTTTTGAATTTTTCTCTTACAAGTCAAACTTACCTATTAAGAATTTTTTTTCTTTTAAAATTTTTTTTTTACAAATATTCTTGTCCATCAAATAATATCTGATAAATCTCAAATAAATTTTTAACAAATTTCAAAAATATATCTTATGAGATTTGAGCCAATATTCTCGACAGAACCAACGTTAAATTCATAAAAATGTAACTTCAAAAGTACACTAACCCTAGAAGTAAGGAACGTAAGTAAATACCCATTTTTTTTTCTTATGATAATTTACAGAAGGTTCGTATAAGTCAGTAAAATGAAAACGAAAAGTTCATTCAACTCATTTAGATTTAGACTCTATTTGGATTGGATGGGTAATGATATTAATTTTTATAAAATTAAAAATAATAATAAAAATGATATTAATTATTATAATAATAAAATTAAAATTAATAATAAAAATATATGTTTGAATACAAATATAATGAAAACGAAAATATGAATTTTAATAAGATAAAAAATGATAATTAAAGAATTAATTTATATGTAATAAAAATTTAAATTATTTAACTTATAAAAATTAACAAATACTAAAAATTTTTAAAAAATATTTTTATTATAAATAATAATTTTGTTAATAAAATAAAAAATAAAAATAACAATAATATATTAAATAGTATTTTTATTATATTAAATTAGAATTATTTTATAATTTTTTTAAATTAAAATAATAAAAAGGTAAAAAAAAAAATCAATTGTGCGTTTGTTGGCTGAACCTAAAACCTATAAGTGAAAAAAAGCTGATTTTTGCATCTCAAATTGTACATCCAAAAGGATGTTCGATGCATTGAGCACGACTTTTTAAAACAAACGCAGCCCCACTGGGGGTACGTTTGAATCCTAATGCAGCCTTAATCGCTTCATTAATTTTCTTCGTTGGCTCATATATAATCTAGATTTTATTAGTATTCATCCCTGTTGTCTTACTATTATTATTGTTTTTTTGGATGAATGGTAAAAGAGGATATTCAGTGGCAGAGTCACGTTTAAACATGCCCCCCAAAAGATTTTTAAAACCCTCTATTACATATTGATATAATATATATATATAATTTATGAGAGGTTTTTTTAAAATTAAAAATGATCTCCCTTAAAAAATAAAAATTATTCTTAATGATTATAAATGTTTAGAATATTGAGATTTTAGATTTAAATTTTATTACATGTGAAGTTGTTTCAATTTTATGTTGGATTTGTTTAATTATGTTTTTAATTTATTGATTAATTTATTTGTTTGATTATTCAATTATGTAATACTTAATTATAATTATAATTTGTACTTGTAATTTCAAAAAAAAATTAAAACAAAAAAATTCAATTCTCAAATTCCAATTAGTTTGTAAAATGTATAAATATTTATAGTTTAGTTTTCATTAAAAATTTAAAAATAAATGTATTTGTTAAATATGATCCATATTAAAATATCAAAACTATTTAAAGAAGTTTAATAAAAAAATAAAAAATGTGAGATTAATAGAACTGAAGGAAACCTTAAGTCTTATTCCCTAAAAGCTAACTCAACATTAAGTCTTATTCCCTAAAAACTTTATCCCAACATCAAATTGCTATAGTTATTATAAAATAATGTGCATTCTTGTCTTCTTAGAGAGCTAATTATAATAACCGTGTAAAAGGCGATTATAACTTCTTTCATGATAAGACTATTGTATCTTTTATCTTTTGATTTTGAAATAATTAATAGTAAATTATAAGTTATTTTTAATTTCAACACCAAGAAATTTATAAATATTTATTAAGAGAAAATTTTAATCTTGTTATCAATATTGAGAGAAATTTTGTTAAAACTTTTCAATCTAATGATTTTTTTTTTTTATGAAAGATCATCATGCATAATTTTAAATGAATTTATTTGAATATTTTCTATTTTAAATAGTTATATATATCTTTTTATTTCGATGCTTAATTTTTTTAATCTTATAATGTATATATATTATATTATAACATACATAGTTATTAGATAGTAATTACTGACGTAGACATTTACAATGACAGTTTATTTTTTTTATACGTAAGATAATTTTTAAAATTTCTCATTATGATAACACATAACACATTTGTTAATTTTAAATTATTTATTAAAAATATATTTTAAAAATTATTAAATTATCTAAAATTTTAAAATTTAATCAAAAACCAATTTATATTTCAATAAAATTTCTTTCTCCTATACATCACCTCATCTCAATTTAAAATTAATTTTAAAATAAATTATCTTTTCTAATTTATATGAAATTAATATGAATATTTAAATTTATCACAACTTTTAAAAATATTATTTAATATCTTTAATATTTTTTTATAAATAAGCATTGCATTATCTTCAGTTTTTAAAAATATTTCACAAAGAAAATGTGAAAAAAAAATATAAATACCATAATAATTTCAGAAAAGTTTCTCATATACATCACCTCATCTCAATTTAAAATCAATTTTAAAGTAATTTATCTTTTTTAATTTATACATGAGTATTTAAATTTATCACAAGTTTTAAAAATATTATTTAATATCTTTAATATTTTTTATAAATAATTCTTATATTATTTAAAGGAAATGTGCAAAAAAATATAAATATCAAAACAACTTCAAAAAATTTTCATGTACATCAAGCTTCTCTTGTATATCACTTCATCTCAATTTTAAAATAATTTATCTTTTTCAATTTATTTACAGTTAACATGAATATTTAAATTTATCATAATTTTTAAAAATACTATTTAATATCTTTAATATTATTTTATAAATAATTTTTACATTATCTTTAATTTTTAAATATATTTCATAAAAAAAATAAAAAAATATAAATATAAAAACAATTTCAAGAAAGCTTTTATTATTGGTAGTTCTTAATTATATAATTTTTTCAATATCCCTCTAAACTAAACGTATTTTTTCTTACTATTAATTTAGTATCTTTTTGTATTAGTCTATTCTTGCACAATTTCAAGAAAACCTTTATTATTAGTAGTTTTTAATTATATTATTTTTTCAATATTCCACTAAATTAAGCATATTTTTCTTTACTATTAATTTAATCTCTTTTTTATTAATCTATTCTTACTATAAAAATTAACATATTTTTTTTATAATAGATATTATTTTATGAAATATACTATTTATTTTATCAAATAAAAATATTATTTTATTAAATATACTATTCACTTTATTATGTAAAATTTTTTTAAACTATAATATTTATGCCTGAAGCTGCTATAATTGGAAGTAAATGAATGATTATGAAGAGAAACAACTAGGAAAGCAGATGTTGCAAGATGATAGACAAGGAAGAAACAGACATGCGGTTTCCAATCTCCATATCCGATTACACATCTGTTCCACGATGAAAGGGAAAACTCCAATTGAAGAATGTGGGGCCGGGGATTGGGGAAGATGACTCAGAACTGTGGATGCCTTTTAATCATATCGAGTGCTGGCCTACTGGAAAGTGTGAGAAATAATTATTTTTACAGGTACAAAAGATTAGGATTATAATAATTTAGATCAGATCAGTTTTAATTTTTTAAATAATTTATAATATTATAAAATTTTAAATTTAATTAAAATTTAAATTAATTTTTTAAATAAATTTAATTGAAATTAAATTTTGTTAATTCAATAGGTTTGATTAATTAATTTTAAAAATTAAAATTTAATTTTTTATATATTATTTTAATATAATTTTTTTATATTTAAATAAATTTAAATATAAAATAATTATTTTAGTTTATAAAAATTTAAAATATATAAAAAATAATAAATATATATAATTCAATTCATTTAAATTTTTTATTTTTAATTTCAAAATTCGAATAAAATTTAAGATATATATTTAATATTTTAATTTAATTCAAATTAAATGAAAAAAAAATAAAAATCAACGTCATAATTTCGAATGGATTAGATTCTTTTAATTTTTTCTATTTTTTTCAACCGCACACAAAAACAGAGTAAGCATGTGAAAAAAGTATGCTCCTTTTGTCTTTTTGCTTGATGCGATATCTGGCAAATCAGACTGAGACCCTATTCCTGAAAAGTAGATAGACCTCGCTAAGTCTTCTTTCGCCAGACTTTCCAATTAGGCAGCATGAGATCGAATTAATTACACGATTATACCATAAAGTATGGTCTTTTTTTATTATATTTTGAATAAATTTAGCTTATTTATTTCTTGCTTTCTGGTCAAGGGTTCAATAAATTCGCCTCACGGATAGCCCAGATCAGATAGCCACTACCCAAAATTTTCTTCTTTTTCTTCTTCTGGTGCTGCAGTATAATGGAAGCCCAAGCAGAAACTCCCTGCAGTATAGTGGAAGCCCAAGCAGAAACCAGGGAGTGCAACAAGGGTTTCTCTCGCAGTTATATGATATTGAAACCTGAGGAAGTGAAATTCGTTGATCTGTTTCGCATCTTGTTTTCAAGTAACTTAGAGGATAGAAAATTTGTGGATAGTTCTGAGGGAACAGCAGAAAGTTTCAGGCAGAGATGGCTAATATTCATCTCGATTGTGGCTCAGAAGTTCCTGATGTTCACTTCCAAGCCAATGTCATGGATGGGATCAGTGATCGAGATGTGGCTCAACCTTCTGTCAGTTAACCAGAATTTTTTTGTCCTCATGATGAATCTCGTACGAGGTATGTATTGCTGTAATTTATCATCTGTTCCTAACCCTTGAATATCAATGTTCCTCGGATTTGTTTCTATGCTCTTCCAGATCCTTAACAGACACACAAAAACAAAAACAAACACTACTTTATGAGTCTGTGATTCTTTCTTTAATGTGTTTATAGATCACTGTAGTTGGTCTATGTTTAGTCAACTCCATCAGTACATCACATGTTAATTATTCCCAGGGTGAATGTTGCTTTGGTTTTTGTATTAAAAACTTAGCATCATTTGATATATCACTCTTCAAAACTCCAGGATCAAAGTAGAAATTAATTGTGGAACAAAGAGAATCCATAAGACCCATGCTTCCCAATACTAAAACTTTTATGTGTCCCACAAACTAGGAAATTGTACAGCATATTGCTTTTTTTTTCTCCTTCTTAATAATTAGAAAGATAAAAGTGAAATTTATGATCTCTCGTCAAATTATGGATTATGTAATTGATTCTTTGTTGACTTTCCTTGTAAAAAACAGAGGGTTTGGTGGGTACTACTGTAATCATGAGACAGCTGTTGATTGTCTGTTTGGTTGCAAGGTTAGTGGGCTCAGCTCAATCAAATCAAAGTTTTTGTTTGATGCAAGAAAACAACAATTCACCCTTTGATTTTATTGGTCCCAGGGAAAAGAAAAAAAAAAAAAACCTTGAGTCCAACAAATAAACATGTATCTTTGCAATCAATATAGGATACGTAGTTGATTAATTAATTTTAACATATTATCTAGTAAAAAAATTTTAACAGTTTAATTTTGTTTGTCAGAGTTAATTAAGTTTTTAACCATGCAATTAAAATAAAAAATATTGTTAAACTTGTTGTCCACCATATAAAGTATATTATATGACTTTGATTTAGAAAGTAAACAAAAGGATAATCAATAACTTATCAAAGTAGGGCATAAATTATTTTTATGATGGTGCCCTAAACCTAACTGGTCCACCACCCACTACTATCACTTGGCAGCCTCTTCATTCGAGAAAGTTGCCTTCACAGCTCAAAACCTGAGCATTCAAGAAATGATAACGATCTGTCCTTTGATATTTCTATAACATAATGACAGGCAAATAAAAAAAAAAAACCCAAACTTTTTATAGTTTATGAAATAATTTATATGCGCATGCGGTTCACAACATAATTGTTTTTAGATACATGACATAAAAATTATTAGCGTCAGTCGGAAATGATTCGTATTTTCTCCAATGACAATTATTAATTATCTGTAGTTATTTAAAGTACCATATATAAATGTGTCTGTCGCAGGCACGATAGTTAGTGTCACGAGCTTATGGTACAAATGCACATGCCAACTAGCTTGCCTGCATGCCTGAGAATTGAGATGTCGGGCTAGTAAGGCAGTGTATACACCACGATCGGTAATTTACTTAAATATATATTAAAGTAAAGCTGTTTGTCTGTTAAATTTCATTAATTTTGAATAGAATTATGTAAAATTAAATTAATTAAAATATTTTTTTTTATTAATTAAATTGTTTTAATTAGTTTTAAAAATTAATTAATTGAATTGAATTTAATAGATTTGATTAATTTTTTTGATTAATCAAATAATAAATATATTTATATTAAATTATATTTTAAACTCTTATTTTTTTATATTTTAAAAAAATTAAATAAAATTATTTAATAAAATATTTAAATATTATATTAAAAATTTTAATAACTTATGAAATAAAATGATTTATTTCATATATATTTTTTATTTTATGTTTAAATTTTTTTTATATTTCGGTTAATTTAATTTTAAATTGAATTAACTGAAAATTTAAATTCTTTTAAAATTATTTTCGTTAATTAATTAAAATTAATTCGATAATCAATCAGTTCACTTAATTAAATCAATTTGATAAGTTAATTTGATTAAAATCGGATTATAAACATTCTTATAAAAAAGCAAAATTTGTGAGAAATTTTGTTTTCGTACAGGAAAGGTTGTGAAGCCAGATAAAAAGTCAGCAACATTTATCTCTTTCATTGGGAATTTAGACAAGAGAATGAAGCTAGACAGTGACATCAAACCTGGACATGGATGCAGCTATTATTCGGCTTTGTCTATGATGGCTTCCAAAGCATCATATGAGAACGAAGCCTACATCGAAACTATTGTCAAGGATCATTGGAAGGTATGAGAAATTGTATAGAGATATGACAAATATCTAATTTGGTTGGAAATTGTCTCCCCTACATTATTACTAAACATAACTACTTCTTTGGCAATTTTTTTGGCAGATGGAATGCTTAGGATTTTATGACTACTGGAATGGTACGAGCAAATTTATTGAAAACCTTTATTTATTTATTTTGGAATTGTGAGTTAATTATTTGATTTTATTTTGTTTGGCAGATTACCAAGAAAAAGCCACAACACAACTCTTAATTCTTCGCGATAAAAGTGAGGACCATGACACCGTTGTTGTTGCCTTTAGGGGAACGGAACCATTTGATGCAGATGCATGGTGTTCAGACTTTGATCTGTCTTGGTATGAGCTTCCCGAAATGGGAAGAATCCATGGCGGCTTTATGAAAGCCCTAGGCTTGCAAAAGAACGTAGGGTGGCCAATCGACTACGGAGCAAACGAAAACCGGAAAGCAGAGTTAGCTTACTATGCCGTAAGAGATAAGTTAAAAAAACTCCTGAGCACAAGTGAAAATACAAAATACATACTGACAGGCCACAGTTTGGGTGGGGCGTTAGCAATTCTATTTCCTGCAATTTTGTTTCTCCATGAAGACAAATTGCTGCTGCAAAGATTGGAAGGGGTTTACACATATGGCCAACCGAGAGTAGGGGATGAGAAGTTCGGACAGTATATGGAAAACAAGTTGGAGGAACATAAAATTAGATATTTCAGGGTTGTTTATGGCAATGACATGGTGCCAAGGCTGCCTTACGATGACGAGGATCTTCTGTTCAAGCACTTTGGTACCTGCCTCTACTATAACAGGCACTATCAAGGAAAGGTAAGATAATCTTTAATTTTTTTCCCTTTTTGGTTGGGTCAACTGTTGTCTTATGCAAAAACTAGACATTAAAGAAAAAAATAACACATAGCCAACCATTTAATTATTTATCAACTTAGCAATTAACCTGTTTCAACAACCTCTCTATTCAATAATCAATATCGATTGATCATAGACCTAATCCATCACAATCACCAGCGACATTCTACATGACAATACCACACTGCCCAGTCGCTTTCCTTTCGTTAAGACAAAATTCCTTTATTTATGATACTGAGAACAATGTTAATTATTTTATTTCGGGGGGTTAATCTTATTTTATTGCAGGTTGTTTCAGAATTACCAAACAAGAACTATTTCTCGCCTCTATCGGCCATTCCGATGATGATAAACGCCATGTTTGAGTTGATAAGAAGCTTCACCATACGTTATTCAAAGGGACCGGAATACAAAGAAGGGTGGTTCCTAAGAGTTTTTAGAATAATTGGATTGGTGATGCCTGGAGTTTCAGCTCATTCAACTCAAGATTATGTTAACTCTACTCGTCTAGGATCGTCAGATGTTTTTCTTCCACCCGAAGAGATAGTCCCATAATTTTGAAAATATTACCATGGTTGGCCTGGTCGAAATTTGACATTGCTCTTATGAAAGAATGAGTGAACGAGGGGCTTTAGATTTAAATTGTAAAATAGAATTATTAATGTTTATAATTTATTTTGGTTCTGTTATTTTTAAATATGTTTGTGAAGACATTGTCTACTTACAAGTATTGAGTTTATGTAAAGGGAAAATTTTATCCCTTTGTCTCATTTCTCAACATTTAAAAATGCATATTTTAAAATCAAACGATTGAATTTTTAAAATATATATGGAGTTATCTTCATGATTTAAAAAGATTATCTACTAATTTCTCCATTGTCAAGTGATGTCTATGTAGCCAATACCGTACAAAAATTGATTTTTTTAATTGAAAGATTTGTTCAAACCAAAAACAAAAGCTAACAATTTATGTTTGATTTTTTCCCAAATCAAACTAAATATTTATTTTTTTACTAAAAATTATCAGCAATTAAACTTTAATCACAAAAATTAAAATCTAATTTTTATCAACAATTCACGTAACTATTGACTAAATTTGTTTTATTATAACCAATTAAATGCCAGAAAAATAAATCACATATCTATTACATTATAATTGCCAAACTTCCACCGTCATCCAGCTAGAATATTAATACTTAGCATTTATTAGGACTGAGTTGAGTAATTTATGAATAATTGGTTGCAATGTCCATGATGAAACGTGCTGTGGATTGAGAACCACCAGCTTTTCCGCACAATTAATCTTAGAATCTCCGTTGAAATTTCCGTGGGTTAAACAAAAAAATATATAGTATTTAATCGGAATCTTCATTGCCAAAAAGCCAAGCAATTGCGTCGTCATAGTTTATACATTCCCTCTGTCCCCTCCTTAATTTAATTTATTCCCTTGTTTAATTAGTTCTTTATTTTGTTTTTTTTTTTTAATTATTGTTAATACTTTCTTAATCGGTAGCTAATAGGCCAAATCGCATTCATGTGAACGCTAGTGCCTTAACCGACAATTTTCCATCCTAGTCTTTTAGCAAATGCTTGAGGACCTAATAAAACTTTTCTTGCGTAGAGTATGTCAACTCAAGTTTTGAGTTTTCTAGGATTTTACATTCATATTTGACTTTTCCGCCGATAAGCAATAGTTTCAGGTTTGATGTTTTAATGTAGTTTATAATTTAAATTTTATTCTGTTATTATGTTTTATATCTCTTCACGAGATAGGTCATTTTATTTTTTATTTACATGTGATGAAGGTCCATTAAATATTTTTTATTATTAACGTCACGTTCCAAAATTCGAATCCCTCATCTCATAGTTGTTTAAGGAAAACAAAATTGTTAGTATAAGCTATGTGGCTATTACATATTTAATCAACCATTGCAACAAGCCATTAGGAAATATATATTGTCGAGCTAGCCAAAATAATCATTATCGTTTTTTTATGTCTCATATATATATATTTTACTATTTTTGGTAAAGAGAATTCAAACTGGCTTTTTGAGTAGAAAAAATATGTATCCATCGTTAAGCCAAATGTTCTTATGCTTCTATAAATTAGTATTGAGGTAGCATATTCTTGAGAAAATTTACTGTTTTTTTTTCCTTTTCCTTTTCCTTTGGCTCAGTTATGAAGCTAAGGATAGATACCAATGCATATCGTGTCTACAATATCTACCCTGAGCCACGATGAATCATTAATACAGTTGAGTTATAATTATAGTAATTAAAATAAAATCAACCTGGTAATACCCTTCCTCTCGAGCTTTTACTTTCTTCTCCTAGGCCATGGCTTCTCAGTCTCACAAGTTTTCTGGCAATTATTTGGTGTTGAGGCCAAACGAAGTGACCCTTTTTGATCTTTTTCGCCTCCCATGGACCCATGAGCTGGAGAAGAAAGCATTTGTGGAGTGCCCGCCAGAGAAATTTCGGGAAAATCTTCGTCGTAAATGGCTTATATTCATATCTCTCTCGTCCCAAAAATTCCTGCTCCATGCTGCAAAGCCCCTGAGATGGTTCGGAGAAAAGCTTGAAACGTGGGTGAACCTCGTCTCATTAAACCACAACATTTTCATGCTTTTGCTTAATCTTTTGCGAGGTTACAATTAGCCCCTTTGACTGATCAATTGCTAATGTTTAATGGTTACAGTATAAATAAATTAGAGAATGTGGATTGATCATTAGCTTTACAGGTAAGGTGATAATGCCCAAACGAGAATCGGAAGTTTTCCTGTCATTCATTGGAAGTCTAGACAGTCGAGTTGAATTAGACAAGAATATAAAACCTGGAGATAGCAGATTCTATGGCGCATTGGCTGCAATGGCTGCTAAAATATCCTACGAGAACAGAGCCTTTGTTGAAAGAATAGTTAGAGATCACTGGAAGGTAAAAATTCTAAAAACTTGAATCCTAAGCTATTCTTATTGGCCTCACAGTCGCAGTCGTTGAAGAAGCAGAGAATGATTCATTACTAAGATAATGCCGCCTAAGTTTTTTTTTTTTTTTTTTTCTCATTTTTCAATTCTATGAAAGAAAATTTTTGTTTTTCCATTATTTTTTCATTTTTTCTTTCTTTAATTTTTTATCTTTTCATTTATCTATGCATTCTACCAAGCAAAACGTTTGTTTGAAGGGTTACTAATTGGTGCAGATGGAATTAATTGGGTACTACAACTTTTGGAATGGTAAGAAATTAACAATACAATATTTTTATTATTTACAAATTAAATTTATGTTTGGAACTTGGAGGTTAGTCTTCATGCTGACAAAAAATAGTCCGCATATTTTTGGCAGATTATCAAAAGAAAAGGAACACACAAGCCTTTATGGTTCATGACAAAAGAACTGATATGATAGTTGTAGCCTTCAGAGGTACTGAACCCTTCAATGCTGATGATTGGAGTACTGATGTAGATCTCTCCTGGTATGAGCTTGACGAGATGGGAAAGATCCATGGTGGATTTATGAAAGCTTTAGGATTGGTTATGGAAAAAGGTTGGCCTCTTAATATTGAACAAGACAATAGCCGCCCACTAGCTTACTATACCCTAAGGGAGAAGCTGAGAGAACAACTGAAGCTAAACAATGAAACAAAATTTATGTTGACTGGTCACAGCCTAGGAGGGGCTCTATCCATTCTGTTTCCGGCTATTCTTGCATTGCATAAAGAAACATGGTTGTTAAATAGATTAGAAGGGGTCTATACATTTGGGCAACCTAGGGTTGGTGACAAGAAGTTCAAAGAATTCATGGAAATACAGCTGCATAATCATGATTTCAGGTATTTGAGATATGTTTATTGCAATGATGTGGTTCCTAGAACCCCTACAGATGACATAACTTTTTTGTACAAGCACTTTGGGACCTGCCTTTACTTCAATAGTTGCTACAAAGGGAAGGTCAGAGCCTCCTTTATATTCCTATACTTTTATTCAAGTTTTTATCATTTAACAATCGAATGATTGATTCTAATTTTGTGGTGCAGAAACTTCAGGAACAACCCCACAAGAATTTCATCTCACAATTTGCATGGCTACCCATATTCCTAAATGCGTTATGGGAACTAGTAAGGGGATTCATTCTACCATTGATAAAGGGACCGGATTATAAAGATTATAAAGAAAGTTGGATGCTCATGCTGCTTAGGTTATGGGGACTTGCTTTCCCAGGTTTATCCGCTCATAATCCCCAAGACTATGTTAATGCAACTCGATTGAGTTCTCGTCGAATATATCATCAACCTCAACTTGAAGATCAGCATCCATAGAATGGCTTATACCTGGCAACTCGAAAGCTATTAGATTAGAGTAAAAGCAAACACAATTTAACTGTATGCAGCAGAAAAGCAACAACAATACAGGAAAATCATCCCAGGAAAGCAAAAACAAAAGTCAGAGCCAAGATATAACTCCATTAAGTATCTTTTAACGAACATTTTAGCCAATGCATCAACAAAATAAAGTGGCTTCTCCCTTTTCTATAAGCATAAAATGGAAATGATCATGTTGGAGGTATTTCTTGTTCTGGCCATCATACCAGATTGTTCCACACCTAGACTACAGTGGTCAAATTGCTTTTAATTTCAGCCTCTTTAGGCCATTGTTTGGAGAAGATTGCTGTGGTCAAAGAATCATTATCCAAATTTCCCCTTCAATATAAATAAATAGTATAAATACTACTATTTTTTCATTTAAAATATAAACCTTTCATTTTATAACGTGTAAAGCTTATTAAAACTCATTTGAAATCATAAATTTGATTGACCATGATTACGCATGCCCTTTTAAGATATAGTTAACATTTGATGCACTGTTAATGAATCAAATGATATCACTTCATTAATAAAAATTATTTTTTAAAAAATCAAATTTTATGTATTTATCTCAATGCCTAGTAAAAATTTATGCTCAATCATTAATAATATAGTATCATTTTATTCACTGATAGTATATGAAATTTATATACTTATAGTATATCAAATATAAATTTTTTAAGATATATTTAAAAAAATTATATTTGATACATTAATAATATATAAATTCTATACACTATAAACGAATCATATATTGATACATCATCAATAAAAAACATTGAAAGTTGAGAAATACTTAAAAATAAATTGAAGTCAACTTATATTATTTACATTTTAAGGTTTTTAATTTTTTAAATGTACTTACTAATTATGTGGTAATTTATGATTTATTAACAGTATATAAAATTTATACATTATTAATATATTAAATATAAAATCATTACAAAATTAATAATATCACGAAAAAATACATTTATCAATCTTTTAACTCTACTTGAGAAGTTTAAAACCTTTATTAAGCATACTAAAAAAAAAGTTTCATACTTGCACAACCAGCTTGGGCAATAATGGAGCCCATTATTAAGCCAATTTCCTTAATTCTGGGCCCATTTTCGTTTAGCTTAGTTCTGTGCTGGACTTAAATCTGGCCCATGATAGTCAGCAAACATCCAAAATTTAGTCCAAGTCGGCTACAAAAGGAAAAGAACGGGGCCACTCCCCAAATTACGATACCGTCTAACGACTCAAGCCGCAGGATCGAGCGAGGGGAGGGAGCGAGCGAGAGAGAGAGAGGAAGAGAGATCTTCTTCTGCAAATTTTAGGGTTTTGGATTGGTCAGGTCAGTGAGCGCCAGAAAAAGTTAAAACCACAACTTTTTTTTATAGTTCTTGTCAATTACTACTACAATTGATCAGCTGTTTTTAAAATAAACTTTTTTTTTTCAAAAAAAAAATGGTGAATTTGATTTCGTATTTGGTGATGATTGTGTGTGAGAAAGAGCGTGTGCTTATTGTGTGCAGGAAGAGGAGGAGAAAGAGGAAGAGACAGAGTGTGAGAGATTTATTAAGAGAGGATTTGTGAGAGCTTTTATTTTGAGTGTGTTAGAGATTTCAACGACTTTCATTTCTCAGCTCAAATTCTCCGATTTTCTCCATGGACCGGAAGCTTGTGGTTAGTTTTCTGTTCTTGATTTGGTGAAAGATTGGGTTTTTATTTCTGGGTTTTTTGTGATTTTGTTGAATTTGATGAATTCTCTTTTCCTAGGTTTTGGGAATCCCGTGGGAGGTGGATACTGAAGGTTTGAGGGAATATATGAGTAAATATGGTGATTTGGAGGATTGTATTGTGATGAAGGTTACCCTTTTTTCTCATTTATTTTATTTATAGATTCAATAATCTTTCATGGATATCTCTTTACGTTTTAGCTTAGGATTGCTTTATATATGGAAAAAAAACTTGTAATTTCCTTCCCTTAACTGGCATGTTTTAGTATTTTGCTGTTATTTTAAATATTTTTCGTTTCGTTAGTTTGAAGATATAATTTTACTGGGCATTGCTCTGGATGTTGCGAGCTGAGAAAGATCTAAAATAATGTGGCAGTATGTGCTTTGTGTGTTAGCACGTTATTCTTGAGGCTTGGACTAAACTCTGCTGCAGCATCATTTTTGATGCCGAGGTTTATTTTCTAAGGTGCTTGAGGGGTCACTAGGTTTTTGAAATCTTGATGCTAGAAATAGGGTCGTATTTAATATCTGAAATTGCATGTTTATGTTAATTATATGTTCCAATTGGTGGTCGCTGATGTATCAGAGAGGTACATACTATAATTATTATACCATTCACTCTATAAGTATAGTCCAAGCTGTAGCATGAACCTTTTTTTAGTTTTATTCTCTAAAAGTTTGTTTATCACATCTTGCATAGGTTACAAGCTTGAGAACTGCTAAATTTTGTGGATACTTCCCTTTCTTTTTCTTTACTTTCTTCCTTTATTTTTTGTGGTTTTCATTGGTTATTGATGTGTTTTTTCTATTATCTAGGAGCGATCCACAGGCCGATCTCGTGGTTTTGGTTATGTAACATTTGCATCAGCTGATGATGCTAAGGTAACCATTGGCCTTCTCTCTCTTTCTCCCTCTCTTTTTTCATGCTTTCCCTTACCTTTAAACCATGTGATAACAAATTATGCTATGTGTGTCATTTTCTACAGAATGTACTATCAACTGAGCATTTTCTTGGGGAGAGAATGCTGGAAGTTAAAATAGCTACTCCAAAGGTTTAATTATATAAACTTTAATAGATATCTTTTTTTGAAAAATTTTATCAGTTTACTAGTCCTTTTATATTCATTGCCAATAACATTTTTATCATACTTGACAGGAGGAGATGAGAGCACCTGTAAAGAAAGTAACCAGGATATTTGTGGCCAGGATTCCACTATCAGTGGAAGAATCAACCTTTCGGAGGTAATTAAGTGCAATATATGAATCATGGTAGTGCCTTTTTACTATTTGCACTTTATTCTTTGAACTTGATTTGTCAACTCTACTCAATAAACCACTTTTTTGTTGGTTTGAGCTGACTAATCATGTTCAAAGGGTAATGAACAAATAATGAGTTTCGGAGGTAATTAAGTGCAATATATGAATCATGGTAGTGCTTTTTTACTATTTGCACTTTATTCTTTGAACTTGATTTGTCAACTCTACTCAATAAACCACTTTTTTGTTGGTTTGAGCTGACTAATCATGTTCAAAGGGTAATGAACAAATAATGAGTTGATTTGTCAGCTATGTGAGGAATTAACATAACAATCAATATGTTCTTCTTCACAGTCATTTTGAGGAGTATGGTGAGATAACAGATTTATACATGCCGAAGGTACTCCCTTGCTCTCTCTCTCTCTCTCCCCACACACACACACACACATATTTGTTCATGTGTCTGTGTTCTGCTTATGGTTGCATGTAGTACCTTTCTTGCTAGAATTTTCTTAGATGATTATTAAGAATGAGTTTTGCAGGATCAATTCTCAAAAGCTCACCGTGGAATTGGCTTTATAACTTTTGCTAGTGCAGGTCAGTTTATCCTGCTCCTGGCTTAGTACCTTTCAGTTAATTTTCTGCATCAATTGGTTTGCATGCTTGCATTTGACCTTTGGGTTATTTTATTTGGTTGTTTATGAGATAACAGTGCTACAAGTTATATTCTTATCTGTTTTTCCAATTGAAATTCCAAGTTTTGCAGTTAAGAATCATCTCTTACTTGTTCGAATTTAGTTATATACTGGTTCTCTTCCTCCACTTCTGTTATGTCTCACTGTGAGAAGAAGGTTAACACTTATTCACTTTAACAGATTCGGTGGAGAATCTGATGGCTGACACTCATGAACTGGGAGGTTCTACGGTAGTAGTTGACCGAGCAACACCCAAGGCAAGTTGCATCACTGCCAGTGTTTTTTTCTTTTTTGGCCTTAACAATTACCTGTTTTACCTCCCTAGAGTTTTAATTTGATCTTTTAATGCTGGACAAACCACAATTTAGTTTTCATTTTGTATTTTCCCGGTAATTTCACCTATATACTCAAAATATGTGGGGTTAATGTCTCTAATTTGATATTATGTTAACAGGAAGATGACTTCAAACCAATAGGCAGAATGTCACAGGGGGGATATGGTGCATATAATGCTTACATTTCTGCTGCCACTAGATATGCTGCACTTGGTGCTCCTACCTTGTATGACCATCCTGGTCCAATGTATGGAAGTAAGTTCCTTCTCTAGCACGGACTTTGATTTATGGAATTATCATTTATTCATGTTGTCATTTTTTTCTATGTTGAACTAGGAGGAGAATCCAGCCGAGGGATGGGAAAAAAGATATTTGTTGGTAGGCTCCCTCAGGAGGCTACTGCTGATGATCTTCGCCAGTATTTTGGTAGATTTGGTCGTATAATAGATGTTTATGTTCCTAAGGTAAGGTGATGAAATATCATTCACAAATGAGAGATGAATTGAAGGCAGCTTATAAGGGTTTGGATGCTCCTTTAATGTAGGACCCCAAGAGATCTGGCCACAGAGGTTTTGGTTTTGTAACTTTTGCCGAAGATGGAGTTGCAGACAGAGTATCTCGTAGGTCTCATGAGATCTGTGGACAACAGGTACATGGAAACAAGTTCTTATCTTGCCTCATAATTTTTCTTCATATTCATGAGTGTTTGTGCATGATAGCATGTTAAACAAGCCAAGTTCTTGGATGATATGTTTATTTATACATAGCCAAAATAGCCTTTTTTCTGGTTATGGAAATTAACTCTAGTTCTTAGGTTATGCTCTGAAATTTTTAGGATTCAATTATGATTTACTGCAATGGCAAAAAAAAATTATGATCCACTGCAAGGGCCAAAATGAGCATTATGATTTACTGCATTGAATCGATTGGAAAACTTTTTATCTTTACTGCTGTGAATCAATGCTGTAACTCCATTTTCACTGAGGTTATCATGGAGTGTATTTAATCCCAAAAACATGGTTATGACCAGTTGCAAGAAATCTTTTGCAAGGCATTAACTTTTAAAAGATCTCAGCAAACCAAGAGAGAAAGATAACAATCTCACTTAAAGAAAAAAGATTTTGAGATCAACTTGCAATAACTAAATTTGAAATGGTTAAGTCATTTTAATTAGTCCTATCTAGTTCATGATTTTTCCTAGGTATGAAGGCAAGGTGTGCATTTATAGGCAAGCCTGCTCCTCTGCACTTATTTGTGTCCCTCTATTTAAGTTATTATTTCAAATTTCTATTCTTTGCGCATTTTATAGAATGCAATCAAAATGCCATAAGTTGTGTTGATTTAAACTCTTATCTTGCTATCCAGGTGGCAATAGATTCAGCAACACCTGTTGATGATGCTGGCCCTAGTTTCATGATGAACCCTACTGGGCCATTTAGAGGCTTTGGTGGTCCAATGCGCCCCTTTGGTAGAATGTATGGAGGCCTGCCTTTTGATGATGTGAGTATATATGTTTATACATTTTTTTTTTGGAAATAACAACCTAAACAATTAACTTGGGTCTTAGGTGCAGTTTCAAACAAAGAAGATAAATGAACTAATTCTGAAATTAACCAAATTCTTAGGAGGGAAAATCATGTATATTCAGAAACAGAGTTCATTAAGTCCTTATGTATTATGCATTTTGTGTTTAGCAGTGGGGTTACCCAATTGGGAGTGCAAGGCCATCGAGAGCAGACTGGCGATACCGACCATACTAAAAACTGGCCATTGTATTGCTCTGGAGATCTTGCTGGGATGTCAATTGTTGAACTTCTTAAATTATCTAGATTATTGCCTGATGTCATTGTCAGTATTTTTATCTTGATTATAAATCATGTCATATGGAGCGTTACTTTTCAGTTTGTGTAATAAATATTCCAGTTGACGTCTCACTAATTATTGTATCTGAACACTGCAAGGTATCAGTTTTAACCGAACTTTTTCATTCCCCAATTTTGAAACCTACTCAGTGGCATATATTGTTGATGTTAAGTTCCAATTAGTAGGCATAGATGCTATGAGTTACCGTATTGTTGACATGAGCCCTGTTAAATGTGAAGCTTGTGTTCTTGTGTTTGATACTCCAAAGACCAAAGGAATGTGGACGAACTATGCTTTAAACGTTTTTAATGGCAGTCTCTGTCAAAGACTAGGAATGACAACTCAGATTTCGACAAGGATAGAAAAAATAGTAAATAAAAAGAAGATTCACGTTCAAGCAAAACCAAATGCATAAGACAACAAAAAAGCACCCAAAAGACGGTACAATGAATATTGAAAGAACGTTGAGCAATGAACAATAAGAAAAAGGCGGCTTGCCTGCGGGAGGGTTCCCATCGGAATGGAGTTAGCATTTTATATATTGAGTTTGAAGATAGATATTCAAGGTTAGATATATAACACATTGTTCATACTTTGCCTTTTTCTTTCTTTTTTTTTAATGTTTATTCTTTATAATAGAAGAAATCAAATCTCTTGCATTTAATTCAATATATATGATCTCTGTTTGTTCAGTTCATTTCCCTAAATTAGTTCCTTGCTATTCACAGATGTATATGGGATTGTATATTTGTATTGGAGTTATTTTGTGTGTGTGAGTGTGTGTGTGTGTGTGGAGAGGACTTAATGCTTCCCAAGCTTTTGAAGCTTGGACCTTGAAAGCTACCCTGTGTTATTAAAGCTTGGAAGAGCTTATTGGAAGAGAGGAGGTGTTTTGTTGTAGGCTTAAGAGATCGCAGAAGATCGATGGAGACAGAGTCAACGGGATGTTCGTGAAAACTCTGGGACTTAAGATGATAGTGAAACAATATTTTTACACCTATAAAAGTCATCATAAAGACTTATAGACTTGGTTATTTGCGAAATGCTAAAACAATCTATACACCAAGTACTATATTTTTAGACCAATTATCATCTCCACTGGAGAAGAGGTTGGAAGCGGATAATATTTTATTTTATTTTATAGTAGCAACAGATGACCACCACAGTAAACATGAACGTGTGTCAAAGATATTTCTTCCCACGACAATGCGGTGGGACTTCAAAATATGAAAATACTGCGACATGGCCATTTGGAATCTTCATGATTGGTGCAGGTGTAGCAGTAGTCTTTACTTCACGTTCAAGTGATTGGCTTATAATGTCTTCTGTCCACTATCCAATTGGGGAATCTGTTCAATTTGCTGTCTCTCTTACCTTCCTTTACTCTATTCAAAACAACTGTAACCTGGAAGTGCTTTCCTTTGACAGAAGAAAAACCAAATTTCTTGCTTTTCTTTATTTAAACCAAGAAACAAGGCCTTGAAAGTTGAAAAGTCTGGTTTTTCTTTTCCTTTTGGTGAAACAATGACTGCAACTTTGTATCCAAAGCCTTCAGGCAGTTTGAAATTTATGAAGCTGTCATTTTACTAATGTAAGCATTTATTTACACCGGTGGAGTAAATGAAATCTGCTATATTTTGTAGAAAGTAGGAACTGAATTCAGAGTATCACACAAGAAATATTATATACTTACCGCATAACTTCGGAAACCTAACAATCTAAAATATAATATAATAATATGAATATGAATAAAATATAAAAATAATAATATAAAATTTTAACATTAATTCTATATAAATTTAATAAAATTAAAAAAAATTACTTTATATTTTTGTATCAATATGATACAATAATTATTATATAAAATATAATTTAAATACATAAATTTTAATATTTTATATAAAATAATACACAAATTATCATAATTAGCTTCAGCCAAAATAGGAACGGGAAATGTCAACTTCCATTATTTTTGAAGAATTATGACATATATATCATTTACTTTAAGAAAGACTAAAAAAGAAAGTGAAGCAACATATAATCAAATTCTGGCATTTGCTTTGCCAAGAGAACTTCTTGAATGGATCGTTGACGATCGCCACGTCTTTTAGCTAAGAAGATGGCTCATCTTTGGGCTCTCTTTCGAGCCGCGTCCATCATGTCGTGGACTTTCCTCTGATCTCCTAGCTTCGTGCCACATCCTTGAGAAGAGAATCGGAGTATCGAAACCCTAACCCCAAAGAGAGATCGATGGATGGAATAGAAGCGAAAGAGGAAGGAAATTAACGACAATTATCAGGATTTCTGGTGTTTGTTTAATTGTTTTTGTGTAAATTTTTGTTTGGAAGAGACACTGCTATTACTCGCAAAACCTGTTTTGCACAAAGCCGTTTTGTTTAAACGGATAAATGGCCCTTATTTTATTCAAAACAGGCCATTTTGAGATTTGGGCTCATAGGCCTTTTCTTAGTCACGAAAATTTTCTCTCTGGCGAAGGCCTTTTTCTTTAGTTCTATGGGAAAGCCTTTTTTTTTTTGAAAGAGCCTTTTCTTCTTTTATATATACTCAACTTCTCTTTTTTTTTTTTTTTTAACGTATAAAGCATATATTGCATGTTTTCCAGAGCACTGGAGGCAGGGCATGGTGACCTGTTGCTACAACATATACATAAATTTATATAGTAAAACTAACTCCTACTCAACCTGACATTTTCTTCAAAAGGAAATAATAATATACACGTTCGCTATCATTATTTACTTGATTTTTTGAGGCTATGATCCCGCGAAGAAAGTTCGTTGTTGACTTAAAAATGAAAAAAGTGGATTCCGGGATGAGTTTTTTTTTTTTTTTTTTTCAAATACCTAATAATTAACTGAGGCAAGTCAATGAATAAGAGAAAATCTTAAGCTACCTGGAGCCGGCCGGGCGGAGGCATGAAGAAATGGCTAAGAATTTTGTCTATGCTCTGTGCCACTCCTTTGCTGTTGTTATCGTCGTTAGATTGCACTGAGGGAAGAGATGAAGACAGTAAATTCTTTGGTTCTGTCGGTGGACTCCTACATCGCGGTTCCAGTGCTCAATCTAACGGAGGAAAGAAAGTTGCCAAGAAGATGGGCGAGGACGGACAGGTGGTTTGCAGCATAAGTATCGGTCCTGATCAGATGGTTTTAATGTTCCAACGTTTGCACGAGAATTCTACTCTGGAGGAACGGGCAGGTATGGATATGTTTCGTTTTTAGTGCAAGGAATAACTATCAGAACTTTAATATTTCTATCATCATCTAAATACTGTAGGAAAAAGAATATGATAATGGTAAAAACCCAATCAGTGATAAGTGTGAGGTGAAGCATGGATAAAAATTTTGAGGTACAGTCTTGCAGCTCTAGCTTAAATAAGAAAAGTGTCAGAAGTCCAAATATTTCAAAGGGAGCTTTAGTTGAACCAGAAATTAAATCAATTACAGAGTTTCAAAATTTAAATATGGAGAGGAGAGAAAATTATATACTGGTACCAGGAGGGAAAGGGTAGAGTATTTTTAGTACATAGGAGGCTGCAATTGGGAATAGGAGAAAGGCTATAAGTATTAATTACAGACGGTAATTCAATTTATATATGATGAGTTTTGATTTGATTCAATTTTTAATGATCGATTTTTTAATTAAATTTCGGATTGGATCGAATTTTAAGTAAATTCATTTTGATTTGATTTGATATATATAAAAAAATTATTTATTTAATTATTTAATTATATATGTATATTTTATATTTATTTAATTTATTTATATTAAAAATAATATTTTATTAATTTTAGATCAAATCAAATCAAATCAAATACAATTTTATATAATGTCGTATCAGTTCAAGTCGGATTCAAATATTTAAAAAATTATCAAATCAGATCGGATTCAATTATTATAGATATAAAATCGAATGAGATTTTAAATGAGATTCGAAACAAATAAAAACTTACTTTGACTCAAATCCGTTATCATTTTAGTATTAATATTCGAATTCTTGATGTACTAAATGTCGCATCTTAAAGTTGTATCTGAGCTTAAGCTTTAGGTTCAAAATGGGTAGAATATTTGCTAAGCAATTTGTTACTCTTTACTGTTATTACCGTCATTAGATTGCAGTGAGGTAAGAATTAGAAGCTACGGAGAAGAGAAAGGCATTGAGAAGATTCATACACTGAGTTCTATACCCATAATCCCGGATGGACCTCAAATCCAATTAACCTACTACGATTGGCATGGGAATATTACTCCAACAAACCTAAATGGTACTTTTCTTTCTTATAAGTTATTCATCATTCCAACTTCAATTTTGGAAGCGGCTTGATATCTGCCCATTAAACATGATTTAAGTTATTCAATATTTATTATTTAAATGCAGACTATTGTTTAACCATCAACAATTGGAATCACGATGCCTTGACCATTTTTTGCACAATATCAAGTTATGAAGCTACATTGACAGCTAAAATGGGCGCCTGGAAAACGAGAACAACGATACATTGCGGTCTATGTAAACTATCTCAAGTAATACCAGAAACAGTTTCTTCATCGACGTACATGACTCATTATATATACAAAACCATTCAGGAAATTGTTAAACTGATCAGCTTCTACCAGCGGGGAAAATCTTCTTCCACTTACAAAATTAGTGGATTGGACATCGTTCACTTGATTTAACAAGTCACCTAAGGCAGGGTATCAGTGGGCATTTTCAAATGACTGCCACTTTATCATTTTCAACGTCTCTGCAGCGTTTTAGAGTTTTAACGGTCGCAGTATTGGTAAGATCAACTTTCAGGATGTTAGCGAGCGTAAGTCATGACCAGAACCACAAGGAACCACATTTGAAAGGATTGTCCATCGATGTTTTTAAAGCAGCTGTTGCAGTTCTGCCCAACCGCTTCACTTACAAACTGGTCCCGTTTCATGGCACTTGTGATCAATTGGTGGAGAAAGTTGCTCTCAAGGTTAGTTTCGTCCTCTTTCCAGCTTTTCTTATTTTTAGTCCTGAAAAGAAAAGATAATCTTTGAACGTAGGACTGATGAGATTTTGTATGTGGTAGTGAAGACATTTCATGCAGCTCTCGGTGGAATAGTAATTACAGCAGAAAGGTCTCATCATGTAGAATTCTCGCAGCCCTATGCTGAACTTCAATTGGTGATGGTGGTAAAGAAAAAAACCAATGAATTGAAGGATATTTTGTGGTTCATGAGCCCCTTTACTCGAGAAATGTGGCTTATAATGTCAGCTATGACTATCTTCACTGGTTTTGCTATCTGCTTAATTGAACATAGAGACCGCAACGAAATGCCTTCTAGACAAGTTGGAGCTGTCATCTGCTTCCCTGTAGCTTTCCTGCTCAACGAGCACAGTAAGAATATGATCATACATACTTATCTGCATCAGCTTCATAAATAACTAATCGAGCATATTATACTTGAAGTTGGAAGTTGGAACTCTAATAAAATAGTACAATGACATCATTAATATTCAATTATTTATACCAATCAATAGCAGTTGCTAAAGAGTAAAATCTTTGATTTGCAGGACCCAGGACCATATTGTCCATTTATGTGCTTGTTTCATGGCTGATCCTGATCCTGATTGTCACAACGACCTTTACTGCAATCCTTAGTTCTATAGTAACAAGTTCGCAAGCTGAGCCATCTGACATAAACGTTGATTCTCTCAAGAAGACAAATGCTGCTATCGCTAGTGATGGGAATCCTTTCACCGTCTCATATTTAGTAAAAAGTTTGGGATTCAAGCGGAAGAATATAAGAAACATCACCTCAGATGATGACTGTGCAAAAGCTTTATCAAGCGGAAAGATAAAGGCTGCATTCTTATTAACACCTGACGCCAAAGTTTTCCTTGCAAAATACTGTACGGCCTTTACAAAGTCGGGACCAGACTACAATCTAGGCAATTTTGGATTTGTAATCTCCACCATGCCTTCAGTTCATTTTAACAGTACTGCTTTTATAGTTGGCCTTTCTTGGTCATCGTCCAAGCTGTCAGGTGGTTTACTTTTGGCTTTTGGGTTATAAGAATACCATTAATTTTGTTATTCACCTTGTGAATTATAGGTGTTTCCAAGGGGTTCAGCACTGGCTTCAGACATGTCAGAGGCGATTCTTAATCTTAAAGAGGCAGGGGAATTGCAGCAAATGGAGGAAGATATGCTCTCCTTTTCAATTTGTTCAAGTTCAACATCCGATGAGACTGTTTCCCGAAGAATCGGACCTGGTCCCTTTACAGGTTTGTTCATTCTCTCGGGAGGTGCTTCAGCAAGTGCATTGTTAATTACGGTCATTCGCCTATTGAAAAGACGTTGGAAAAGGTGCATTCAGAGATTGTTAATGGGTAGGGGACTTTTTGTGTGGTTGACAATTCTCCTCTCGCATAATCAGACTACAAATGAGCTCCAACTTACAGGAATAAGTTCCAATTATTAAATATGTATAACTGGACAAATCTTGGTATATATATTATCATGTGGATTAAGTCATTAAATTGAAGGCGAACATATGTAAGCCTGTCAGTTAATTGCCAACATCATTTAATCCTGGTAATAAAGTTACAACTGGCAATGAATAGGAACTCCCCAACACTTTTGTATGGATATCTCACAAATTCAATTAAAAGACAAATGGCACAAAATTAAACCTTAAGTTGGCTAAGTTCGTATGGATGCTTATTTTTCCACACAAGTCACAACATATCCCGTAGGCCGGTAACCCTAAATAATTTCTACTAGGTTTCCAAGTAACGTTCCTAAATAAAATTTGTGTGGACAGAACACGCCAGGAAAGTCTTAAGGTCTTTATTAAAAATGAGAAAATTTAGTTTCCCAGCTTTGCTACCACTCAAACGAATTGAGATTCAATTTGAACAACAGGAAATTTTCAACTAATTAGAGGCAAGCAGGATGAGATGAGTAGCATCTTTGCCAAGCATTTTTCTTTTCTTTTGCTATTATTACCGTCATCAAATTGTAATGGAATAAGAGATGGAGAAGATCAGAAAGCTACCCAGAATAAATCTATGATGCTTTATCCCGGAGATGCACACCAAATCTTTTTAAGATTCAACCTTTCGCATGAGAAAGTTAGTCCATAGATCTCGATGGTACATACTATATATAGTTTTCAAAGTAGTACGTGCAGAAAGAATGTGTGATTAGCGCAACAAATCTTACAAAATGAATTTGTTGAATAATATTGCAGATTATTATCAAAATTATGTTGCCACCAAATGCCTAACTTCACAAATTTTACCAATTCATTGTACGGTCACGATTTTTAAAACTGCATTTACTGCAGAAAGAAATGAGTTGACCAGGAAAACCAAGGCGACCGTACTTTTTGCTCTGCCTGCAAAAGCTAAAGCAACAATGGAAAACGAATCTTCAACAAGTTACTTGTCTCGTCATTTGCATGAAATTACTTGCGATATTGCTAGTCTAATCGGCAGTTCCCAGTGGATAAAGCCTGGAAAGAAATATCTACAAGGAGTCGGGCAGAGTAAGTGATTTAGACATCGTCACTTTCAACTTGAATAGCAGCCATCCAACGCAAAACGTTGGTGGGATTATTCAAATGGCAGCTACTTTATAGTTTTCGACATCCCGGTCAGTTCACTATTTTAAAGAGTTAAGCATCGCCGTACCAGTAAGATGGATTTCCTGGCAGTTTGTGAACGTAAGTCATGACGAAAACCACAATGAAACACAAATAACAGGGTTTTGGATTGATATTTATAAAGCAGCTACTGAAATGACGGAAATCAATACCAATTATAAATTGGTTCGGTTTAACGGTTCCAGTGATCAATTGCTGAAGTAAATTGCTGGCAAGGTTAGTTTGTTTCCTTATCTGTTCTCTTTTCCAGTTGCTTATTTTTAGTCCTCACTCTTCATCAATTGACTGATTGAAATGTGATGAATTGAAGACGTTTGATGCAGCCGTTGGCTTAACAGTAATTACAGAAGAAGGGTGCCAGCTTGTAGAATTCTTATATCCCTATTTTGAAGTAGGGCCGATCCTAGTGATGAAGAAAAATCTAGAATTGAACCAAGTTTTTTCGTTCATGATCCCTTTCAACAACGAGATGTGGCTTACTATGGCAACTATGACGGTCTTCACTGCTTTTGCTATTTTGTTAGTTGGACGAAGAACAACTGGTAATGAATCCGGTGGTTTGCCTTCTAGTCAAGTTGGAGTTATCTTCTGGTTCTCTTTTGCAACTCTCTTCTTAGGAGGGCATAGTAAGATATAGTATAATCAAGTTTGGTTATTTTTAAATTTACGCATTCCACCTTGTTCTTGAGCACTTAGTTTTTGCAATTGCCAATCTTTGCAATATCAAGAAAGGGAATACTTCAAGAATGAAGGAACGCTAATCAGTTATTAATAAATTATTTGTATTGCAGGAGAATCACCCAGGAGCAACTTAACTTATTTTGTTCTGGCCCCATGGTTACTCCTGATCCTGATTGTCAACCTATACAGCTAGTTTTACTTCCATGATAACAAGCTCGGAGACTGAGTCATCTTTCTTAGATATAGAAAATCTCAAGAAAACAAATGGTATAATCGGTTGTGATGACGATTCTGTTATCTTCCGGCATTTAGTGGAGGTCATTGGGTTCCAAAGAAAGAATATCAAGCACATTGCTCAATCTTCAATTGATGATTATGAAAAGGCTCTATCAAGTGAAAATATAAAGGCTGCATTCATTCTGACACCTTATGCCAACGTTTTTCTTGCAAAATACTGCAAAGATTTCAGAGCATGGAACCCAATCCATAATCTACGTGGTTCTGCAGTTGTAATATGAACGATGCTCTTTAGTTCCTTTACTGGTTTTAGTTAATTAACCTTGATAATTTGTTGTTCAAGCTTTTGGGCATGTCTTTTAACCATTTTTGTGTTGAATTATAGGTTTTTCCACGGGATTCTCCTTTTGTTTCAGAGATGTCAGAGGCCATGTTCCAAGTAATAGAGAGGTGTAAATTTAAGCAAATGCAGAAAGAGATGCCATCATTTTCAGATTGATCGAGTTCAACAATTGATGGCTCCATAAAACGAAGAATAGGGCCAGGGCCTTTCTCAGGTTTTTTTACTTTATCAGGCGGGGCATCTGCAATTGCAATGTTGATCAGAGTTGTTCGTCTGATGAAAAGACGTTGGGAGAGACTTATTCAGGGAATGTTGATGGGTAGAGGACTTTGGGTATGGCTGACAACTTTGTTTTCTCAAAACCAGAGGAGAAATGAACTTCAACTATCAAGGATAAGTTCCACTCCCCGAACACAACTCAGCAGCTCCTAGCATACCATCCCTTTGTTCATTTCTGTAAAAGAAAAACATGATTGCTCTTGGAGCAGAAAGTTTACTTAAACTCATCATTGATTGCTGTCTTAAAACAAGCAATGAATAAGCGTGAAAAAATTAAGACAATGAAATAATTATAAGAATTCAGAGATTCAAAGCTATTTAACTTTGCATATTTGTCAATATTAAGTCTCTGTATTATCAGTCAATGTTTATATCAGAAAATTTTAAAAAAGAAAAAGAAAAAAGAAAGAATAAATCTAGTAATTTGCTAAAGCATGATATGATATCATTGAAACAAACAAATATATAGCACTAGATTTCTTCAAAAAAAAAAGTATTACCCCATTGGGTTCTGCCGACAAATATAATAAGAAAGAGGCATTGGACATTGATGACCCCTTCACGAGTGGAACAATCATATATAATCTACTTGCCATGTCTTGCATGTAATAATATCAACAAGATGACCATACGATGTTAATATTAATCCAAAATCATGATATATATTTGGTGGCAGCCAATGGCAGCCGCCCTAAATGATGTTGTTTGCCAAAACCATTTAATCCTAAAACAAGATCAGGCCTGGTAGAAATTACTCAATTTCTTATTAGGGATATTTTAGATACTCTAATACAGTAGTTATCTTTAATTCAATCGATTCATATAATTATTTTTAAAATATAACTTAAATATAATAGATTTATTATTTAAATTTTATTACCTATAATTTTTTTTATTCTCAAATTCTAACTTTTTTTGTAAAAATATATATATGATACAGTAATACTCGTAAAAAATCTCCTTCTTATCTTGATTTTTATTCAAAATTTGGTCACAAACCATTTATAGGGTATATTACTCAAGTAACCTATCTTTTTAATAATGGGAATGGCCTCTAAACGTGAGATATAACTAGTATTTCTACCAATTTTGTTTCATATTTCTTGTGAACTAATCACCAAAACAAACCTATCAACACAATTTCAATCTGTAATCTACCTTCTTACATTCGAGTTCACAATTTATTAACATTTTCATTAAGGTTTTAACAAAATTGGGATTTGAAATCTCTCTACTATGAATGTCGATTGTTTAATTATTAAATTTCTTATAAACATTTTTTTATTAAAATCTGGCACTCTATCAAAAGATTACACTATTATTAACAAAAACATCCCTTTCTTATGATTATATATATATTTTCTCTCGAGCTTTATATTAATAGTATTTACTTTTTTATGCATAACATTATTAATATTCATGATTGATCCTGGATGTTGTGAACCTTGTTAAAACAAACCATCCTTTTTAATTTGGAAAAAATGAATGTGCCTCTGAATTTAGGCATTGTGTTTCCATTAATTATTCTCCTCTGAAAATTCCTTTGTTTCATCCCATTAAACAAATTTGAGTGCCGGCAATCACTCTGCAAGCAATTTAAGACTTTGTTTGGATGCTACTGCACTTCTGGTGAGGTGCAGGTAACAACCAAAGAGTCATAGTAAAATCCATATGCCTGGATGATGAGGTTTCTTTTATCGCTTCATATCCTCAATTTTTCATTAGAGCTTTGAGGTATGGTGACAATTTAATTGTTTATTACAGTTATATTTTTCAATATTATCCATATTTTTTTATGCTTAATATATGGTGCACTAGGTTTCTATATTTTTTATTTTTTATTTAAAATCTTTAAAATTTTTTATTAATTTAATATAATAAATAAACTTTATTAAAATAAATTAATAAATAAATAAACATGTTCATAATTAAATAATTAATTAAAATAAATAACTAGATAAAAAATAAAGTAGATAAATATTATTAATTTTTAATTTAACGTAAGTAAATAATTTCAATCTAATGACATTAAAGACATTAAATATAAAAATTATTATATTCAAATTTTAAATAAATTTATTATATCAAATTTTTAATGTGATATCTTTAATAGTAATTTTTTTCTCTTATCAATTTACATTATCCTCATCTTTACTTTTATATTTAAATATATATTTTATAATTTAATTTAATTTTATCACTATAATAATTAATTTTATCTCTATTATTTTTTCTAATCTTATCGAAATTAAAAAGTAAAAAGAATTCATATTGCCAAGTTGCCACTAAACTATCCATTGGCAAAACTGACAGCCACTGAACCTCTTCTATCACATTCAAACTTGATATTTAATGTTAAAAAAAAAAAGAAGGATTGCTTATTCATTTATTATAATCTATAATAATAAGTGTGTGATAAGCAAGAACTTGAAGACAAAGTTGACAATGTTTTGCATATTAATTGTTGATAGGCTAAAGCATTGGCGAGTGGCACAGCTCGGAATTATTGATAGTGGGGTCGGGGTGGGAACCTTAGAGTTTAAGTCATAGGATAATAAGGCTCGTTGTGACCTGCTGCAACCACCTAATTAAAAGAAAAGAAAAATTGGGTCCCTTGTTTGTCTTCTTCCTGAAAATCATTACAATGATGTCAATTTGATGTGATTTGTCAAAGCCTCCGTTCTTGAAATTGCTTCAACTCATTTTGGTCTCTCTTTCTGTCTAATATATTTATCTTCGTTTAATTATCAAATTATCAATTTTAATTTTCACGTTGAACAATGAAAATACATGCATAACATGTATAATCTAATTGCAATAGTATTTCATTTACAATTTTTATTATAATAATTTTATAATTATTTAATTATAATAAAAAATTAAATAAAATTTTTTATTTATAAATATGATATTCATATAAAATTTTGATGGATTATACACAGTTTTAAATTATAATTAATTAACTATAATGTAATGATTATAAATTACATATTTTTATCTAATTAATGTACATGATTCATCGTCCGTTATATATATGTTAATTTAAAATCTAAAAAAAAAATCCAGTTCTTGTTTTTAAATTACGTATATCCCATTAAATAAATCTGAAAAAAAATTGCAAAGAATATCTCCCAAATTGTTTTTTTCTAACGAGGAAGCAAGACTTCCATTATTCATTATGATGGTTTCACAGCAAATTAATTTCTCCGAAATTTTTAGTCTTTGATTACTTAAGTGGATTGACCCCTGCGAGATGGGTATCGTTTTCTAAAAATTTGTCGATACGTCTTAAAATTAGATTAGACTTGGAGAAAAAAGAAAAAAAAGAAAGAAAGAAAGATCAATGGTTTAGTCTTGAAACTTTGGGTGGATTTCCTGGAAGTCTCTTTGAATTTTGTATTTTTGACTTTTGATCAATTTCGTTTTCATACAGAACGCTCCATTCAAATGCCTGCTTAAACAATAGAACAATGAATTTAGAAATTCCAAGTCAATATGAAACCTTAAGCAAATGCCAGCCAGCCAGCCAGCCAGGCTGCCCTTCTTCAGAAGGCAAGAGGAATGAAAAACCCTTTTTTTTTTTGTCGACTCTTTCCCATTCTATTGACCATTGAATCTTGAACAAGAAAAAATGGTAAAAACTTGAAGTAATTTTAAGTTCTGTCGTGGGAATAAAAAACTTTTTACTTTTCCATATTATACGAAGTTGAAGTTTCTTTGTATACCACACTGTAATTGTCACATGGACAAAGGGAACTTCTTACAGAGATTCAGCTAGAAATTTCAGAAGGGCTGACCATCATAAGTCATTGTATGATTTAATTCTAGTAATGATTCATAAAATCAATGAAAATTAATGTAAAGGGACTGCAGAAAATTGGTGTTGAGCTCTCAGCTACTAAAGGATACAGATATCTGAACAAAATAAAGTAATGGAGTTAGATATCTGCCAGGCAAAAAAAACAAACAAACAAGTAAGTAGAGGTCTGAGTCTTCCATTTAATTGAAAGAGACCAAAAAAATAAAATAAAAAAAAATCTCTCCCCTGTTATCTAGAAGCTTTAGGTGAAGGCCAATCATGCAGAGGTCGACCCATTACAGAATAACGTGCTTGTGACTTGAAGTTTTTTAAATTCATTAATTTTTCTACATCAACCAAACCACAATAAATGGTATTCGAGTAGGGCTTGCTATCCACTCTAATAGATGTTAATTTGAAGTTAGATATCTGATCAATCTTAACAATTAAAAAAAAATCAAAAATCAAATGATAAATTAATAATATAATAAATAATAATGTCTATTTTATTAATTTAAAAAATTTTGAGCTTTATTTTATACATAAAAAATTACAACTTGAAAATAAAAAAATTATAGGTATTAAGATTGTAACTCTAAATTTATTGAATATTATTTTTTAAGATTAGTTATATAAATTAATTGAATTAAATTATAAATTTTTTAATTTTTGTAATATTATATATAGATTATAGATATAAGATATAAGATAACAATGTCTAGTATTATATATTATGGTAAGACAATAATCAATTTTTTTTTTTTGGTTAATGTAGAGCTTGCTTCAATCTTATATTATATAAGCAGGCAAAGATAAATTACTATTACAAATCTTCTAAGAAACACTTAACCCTTCTTTAAAAACAACTAAATTCATGGTCATCTTGACTTAGACCAGCCAATCCCAAGGCACTCAGCCTCATCCCTGACCCACAACCCCACCACCTCACCACCTTATAACCTATCTCCCATCAACCTCCACCTTCACTTCTTAAAAAAAATCCCTAAAACACAACGGCCATAGAGCTCCCCACCCCGGAGGGCGAGGTCCTCCAGGACCTCCTCGTGGCAGCTATGTCCATGCTCCATCCTGATGACAAGCCACCAACCCCACCTCTTCCCTTGCCACCGCCGCAAGAAAATGTACAATCACTAGAACCACCACAGCCGCCTCCTCTGCTTCCGCTTTATAAGCAGCGATCGTGGTCACCAGATATTTTCCGTGATGAGGCATGGCTTAAAAGGAAGGGAAACAACAAGAAAAGGAGAAGCAAGAGCGTGACAGACGAAGACCTTGATGAACTCAAGGCTTGTATTGAGTTGGGGTTCGGGTTTGACTCCCCTGAGGTCGATCAACGTTTGTCTGATACTTTGCCTGCTCTTGGTCTTTATTATGCTGTTAACAAGAACTACAACGACACCGTTTCCAAATCTGCTTCGTCTCCTTCAGTTGCATCGGATTGTGATAGTATTTCGTCCCCTACTGGCAGCCCCCTCACCATCTTTGGCCCTGGTAAATAATAAATTGATCAGATGATTACTATTTTTTTTATAATTTCTTTTTCTTCTGTTTTTATTTATTTTTTGTGATTGGTGAAGGTGACAATCCACAGATGGTGAAGACAAGGCTGAGGCAATGGGCACAGGTGGTTGCTTGCTCTGTGAGGCAAAGCTCGTGATGAGGATGATGGTCGATGGATGTGTCCCATGATATGATCATTTCAGGGTTTCTGGGTTAACTACTGAGAAATCAAAACAAAACCCAGATTTGTTAGCAATGTAACCAAACATCAACAAAAACAACTTGTTTGATATGATTCCTCTCACCCACCGACTTTGGTTTGGTTAGAAATTAAAGAAAAAGCACTGTGAAATATCCCCATGTTAAATGGAACAAGAAAAAACAAAACAAAAACAGCCGCTACTAGCTAGATTGACTCGCTTTTGCGTTGCGATAACAGCTTGATTTTTGTTTTTGATTCTGGTTTTTTTACCGTACATAATTTTACGTTGTTTAAGGTTCGTAGTTAGTTTCTGTCTGAACTATGCTGTGAAAAAGGTCCAATGATTTTGCTGCTGATTTTCATTTTTTAAAAAATTTTTTACACATTTCTTCGACCTTAGTAACGGTTTTCTCTGTCTTAATAATGGTACGGCAAAGAGGGTTTTTCTATTTTTTGATGTAGAATCCTTCTTCTTGACGGAATACAGCTTGCTTTCATTCATGGGCAGACCAAATAATCATTTTCTTTCGCGCAACGAAAGGCAGTTTGGAGTAAAAAAGTTTTATGCTTATTCCTTAATGCCAGACAGAATTAAGACTTTTTGTCAATTAATTTGCACTTTGCATGTTCTCATCATCTGCTACACGATTGAGGCTTTGAGATCAGATATTGATTCCTCCCCAAATTCTTATTCGAGAAATTTTACAAAATTTATGAAAATTTTTTATATGGACTCTTTGATATGAACTGAGAAATGGGCTATTTGAACTCACTTCTTGGTTGATGGTGTAGTTACAAGAGAAGGCAGGGTGGCGAAAATGAGATTTGCCCTTTGCCAAAAAAGGAAAAGGAGTCAAAAGGCGATCTATGAATTAATAATTAATCCTATTTTATAATTAGTTATGGTTTTTTAAGGGCATTTTCTTTGTTAGTTAAGGATCTTGGACACTAAATATGTTTTCAATTTTTTTTGTTATAAAGGAAACAGTAATCTGAAATATAAGAATGGATTGTAGATGTTAAAATTCAAATCCAATATTACTTTTTAAATTCAAATAATAATTTTATCAGATATCATAATAATTATATAAATAAATTGATTTAAAACTGCAGGTTCAAAATGTATTATTCTCTCTTTAGCTGTATAAGCAGAATGCATTAATGGAGTAACGAATTTCTGGCCTAAAAGAAAGTGACGAGTACCTGATTACCAAAACTATAAAGCATAACTAGCTTTCTGTTAATACCTAAGAATCCATTTTGAGTGTGAAAAATCTGCCAAATTACTTTTTGGAGATTTAAACCATGTGCGAAACGAGTAGCATTTGATGGCAAATATACCTCATCAGTACTATACTTATGGATGAGCTTGCTTGCTTCCATCAATCCCCTCCTATATGCCCCACTCCAACATGGCTGATCACCAGAAGTGCGATTCAGCTCGGATTGGCGTCAAAGAAGCACCGCTAAGACAGGTCTACATCCAAGCATCGATGCCAGACAATGGTTCAGGACAAAACATGATACTTGGTGCTGACTGCTCTATCCAACATAACAGCAATTAAGTGCCTCGCACTAGTATTTTATTGCGGTCATGTTTCACATTGGATGAAGAAAAGTTTCAGACACATTGGTCCATCAGGAACATGATGGATCCTGTCCTCATTTCTATTCCTATTCCAATGGGCTCTCTGGACTGCCCCAAAAAAATGAAACCCCGTTTTGATAAACCCCAATGAATGAGTGGGTTCAACAGTACATGTTTGGATTACAGTGAGTTGTCCTAATATTTAAAAAAAAAAAAAAAAAAACCTTCATGTCCTATTTGAAATAACTGGTTTTTGCAATAGCTGATGCTAGTTGTGCAGATTGAGTGGAAAATCTTGTTTCATTACATGATTGAGAAATACCTCATAAATTACCCAAATCAAATGTTTTCTAGAAATATGATATTTAAATTCTACTACTACTTGCAACACTATAAAAAAAAGGGCAAAAAATAACAGGCTATCCATGTACTGAATGAAAGGATCATTTTATACTCAGTATGTTCATTATTCAACCGTCAGAATATTCTTTGGGTTCAAGAAGTTTTAAACCAGACAGAATGTAAGTTGTGCAGAATAAAAAAAAGAATAATCACAATTTAAATGTAAATGGCATTGACAAGTAACTGAAATTAATGTTGTCCTTCATTAATTGTCTCTGCTTCTCGAAAAGAAGGCTTTAGTTGACTGCTACTACCGACCAGTTCATCACTTGCATACATACATTTATAATAGGAAGTTTTATAGAATTGCACGGAAACCTGAAAGACGAATTTCAATGGATAAAGACGTGTGTATGGCTACGTATATATAGTTTAAACTTCCGTAGAAACTCCTAAAGATGTATAGCTGGCTTCAACTTGGTTGAAGAAGACAAAGGAAAAAACAAGGGAAAAGAAGATGAGAGAAACAAAAGCAAAACATAAATTCTACATTTTGCAGTCACGATTGGTCCACGTACAGACTTTATATGAAAAGCCTCTTTCGTTTCATTTATTTATTGGTTTCAGAAAACGCCTTTCTTTTATTTCAGTGTGGAATAGCCGAAAACAGCCTTTGAAAGTCAAGCCCCTAGTTTTCTGTTTTTAAGCATAGGATTTTATTATTTTCCTTGAAAATTGAAGGGTTCATTAATGTGATTAATTTATCTGAACAAGACCTTGAACATCAAAGCCACTTATCAAATTAAGATTAAAGGAAATAGAGAAAATTCCTAATTATAATCAAATAAAATCTTGGAATTATTAGTATATTTCTCAAAGTTATGTAATATTCGATAAGAAATTCCACATCTCTCTTATCATTTTTAAAACTTTTGTTTTTAAAAAAATTGAGATAAATAAATTATTTAATTTTTTAAATTAAAATAAAATATATCATATTTAACAATTTAAAATAAATAATTATAAATTATATATTAAAAATAATTTTAATAAATAATCACTAATAAAATTTAAATTTAAACCTTTTTATCAAAAAAATAAATTTTAATCAATTAAATCATTGACTTATTTTCCACTTTTAAAACGTTTCCAACATCTATTAGTCGAAGTTTGACGAAGGACAAAAGAAAAAAAAAATGGAAGAAAGACAAAGACAAGTGGATGAGAAAGTCAATATTATCGGTGATTAAATTCCAACACTTTGCGCTATCACGTTATTTCGTAAGGACTTTATCCTCCACTTGACGCAATCAACAACAAAAGAAAATCCAACAGAACATGTTAGAAGAAGAAAGAGGAAGAAGAAGAAGAAAACGAAGCCAATGTTGGGTCATTTTTGGCCTGTGAACGACTTATAGCACAGTTGTGGCCATGCTAATGTTTTGAAGAACAGAGTCGAGGTGGCCAATGAACTAGCTTCGAGCTGTCATCACCAGAAACAAATTTTCCGTTTACAATATATCATCTTTATACAATAATTTTATTTTATTCAAAATTAAAATTTTAAATTTTGATCCTCTAAAAATGTTTTAAACTAACCTTTTTCGTTTTTGACGTGGATATCCGCGTATGGATTGACAACATAAAAGAATTTAAAATATTTTAAAAATTCGTAAATTAAAAAATTAAATTTTAAAGATGATAAATGAAATTGAAATATTACAAAAAAAAAATTATGGATGTATAATACAATTTACTCTACAAGAATACCAAGATTAATTAACCCTCTTGAGTCTTAAGTTTCTTTCTTTTTATCATTTTTTTATAAGCACAATTGAGCATGGTCAAAATAAAAAAAAATAAAAATTTACATTTTGCAGTTAATTTTCTAAGTACTAGCAATTAAAGAAAATAATTATTTTGTCAAGATTGAACCTATATATATATTTTTTTTTCTTTTTTTTAACCCCTAATATTATTTTTTTTTCCAAATAATTGCTGGCTAAAACGCAAGCCTTTTTCGAAAGACAAATTGCCGCACAAGAGAAGAAAATGTAAAATGTTGGTCTCTGAATTACCTAACCTAGCCCAGCTGGTCTGCTGCCGACACTAAGAAATAAGGCAGTTTGGTGGCAAAACCAGACCAAAAATATTCTTAGAAAGTGGTAAAACATTATAAATTTATGTTTCTTTTATATAGTTTATCCCGTACAAATTTTAATTTTTTGTATTTAAAATTATTAAAATTTATATTTAATTATTTAAATTAAAAATTCAATACTCTTTTAATCTCATTGTATCTAAAAGCAAGAATTATATTACTACTTGCTATCAAAATCGTGCTAAATGTATTGTTGTCTCCATAATTTATTCTCTATTTAATTTCTTCCATATAATTACATTTTTTAAAATATTTATGCAAATATATTAGCATATATATAAGTTCTTATTTTTTTTATAAAAAATTAAACATTATGCTAATTCTTTCTCCAATTTCCTTTCTTGTGCTTTAAATCAAATAGTATGGTTTTCGTTGTCAAATTAAAGAAGAATTAATACATATATATAGGCCGTGTTTTCTTCTTTTCTTTCTTTTTCCTTAAGAAATTAAATTAAATCAAGGAAAGAAAGAAATAAAATAGCATCTTCTCATGTTTTAATTTACATGTAAATGATGGGAAATAATTCATTACTAATTATTAAAAAATAGATTAACAAATGACTTCCCATTGATACATAAGCATCCGTTATTTAATTTAAAACAAAGAACAGGTGAATAGATTTTTTTTTTTCTATTTACATAAAATGTTTTCTCCAAAGCATGCCATGTTTTATTAATGTCATCAAATTTTTACGCAGATTAAGTGTTGATATTTTCTTTTTTAATTTGGTGATGGTGATGTGGAGTTTGGCTAGGTGATGATATGAGAATGAAAGCAACTTGAAAGGAAAAGCATGATTATATAGAGGCGTCGAAGATAGAACTTCAAAACACGTTTCGATACTCAAGCCATAAAAGCTCAAGGTAGGAGAAAGAGAGAATATAGGAGACTTTGAGAATAAGTAAAGGATTAGAAACTGAAATTCCATGTACCTATGCTCCATCCATACCTTTTATATTGTGAGGGAGTGTCGCTCGCATAAATGGAAAGTTGGTCACACGTCAGGTCATGACGATCAGATGGTTGTCAAGTGTTCACCTGACGGTCAAATAGTTGACCTGATGAGCAGAATGTAACATCAAAAAAAAATTTACCTAATAGTTTATTAATGCATTACAAATTTCCATATAAATTTACGAAATAAGCTCTTGAAATGCTGCAAAAATAGTTTTGAACCAACATCTATTGCAACTCGAATATATTTGAATAAAAGAAGTAAATAATTAAATATCATTTAGTCAATATTAGTATTGTCATAATTCATCATTATAAATTTGTTATTTTCGTATTTGGTATTTCTCTGTCATTTTCCGTTCATATTTTTTGCATTAAATATTTTTCCCATTCTTCTTCAAATATTATTTAATTCTTTCGTTTATGAAATTAATTAAAATGAACCCTCACATACTATATTTAATAGGTTATTTTTTTCCCATTTATGCTTAAGAATTATAAGTGATTAATTTTTAAAATGCACCAACTGATCTTAATGTAAAATTAAAGAGGGGAAAAGGCTATCCTTAGCAAATTAAAACTCCGATGGCCTATGTTTCTAGCCAAAAAAAAAATTAATTGACACATACTAGTCAAGGTCATAAAATTAAGTTAAAATGGACCAAATTAGGTACAATATAAACATAATAAATTATTAATAATCTGAATACAAAACTTAATTAAGTTAGTACATATAATTATTTTTAAAAAATATATCTAATAAATTTTAATTTTAATTTTAATATTTATAATTTTTTTCGCTACGCAAATAACATTGTACCAACCAAAAATATTAATATTCTTGCAAAAAATTTATTATATATATAAGCACACGTCATATGAACGTCATCCATCTTTAAAATTTACGGTCAGACAAAACAAACAGTAATACTGCTAGCAATAATGGCGATCAAAGAAGCAACCAGAAATAGTATATCGTATCGCAGGGTGTGAGTTGGGGGCTGCGGAAAAAAAAAATTACTACTTGAGTAATAAAAAGGCTCTTCTTCGGCTTGGAAAAAGTGAAAACGGTGAAAGAAGGCACGCGTTCATATAAAAACCCCAATCCTCCCTTCAAACGTATTAGAAGCTTCTTTTCAAGAAACGACCAAGCAAAGCCCCCACCGTCCCCCGTTTTTCTCTTTAGAAAAATCTCTCTCATTATTTTCATCAGGAAAGCCGAAATCATGTTGTTTTCTTCTTGTTCTTCCTTTTCTCTCTCTCTCTTATATCTTTTTGCTGTTTGAAAGACTGAAAATTTCTAGAACCCAATATCCTTTTTCTTTGCTTTCATCAGTTGTCCTCCCTTTATAAGAAGTCACCTACAAGAATTCACAAAAAAGAGAAAGAAAAAGAAGTGCTCTTTCTTTTCTCGTTCAGGAGCTCTGGTAAACAAAATTATGGTCGTGTTTAGATTCCAAAAACCAGAGGGTTCCTTTTGTTAACTCATGGAAACTGATACCAGCAAACGCTGTGACAACCTCGTTCACTCTCGCTTGTTCCTCTCTGGGTTCTACTGCTGGGGTTGGGAATTCTTGACTGCTCTTCTTCTCTTTAGTTGTTCCGTCTAAAAACAATATACCCCAAACATCTTTAACGAGGTTTGAACTTGTCCTGCTTTTGTTTCTGATCGTGTAATAATTATATTTCTTAGTTAGATTTTCTTTCTTTTTACGTATATTGTGGGGAGGGTTTGGTGAACCAGAGAGAAAAAAAAATAAAAAGATCGAAATGGCTCAAAGGTCTGTTCCGGCGCCCTTCTTGACCAAAACATACCAACTGGTGGATGATCTGATCACCGATGATGTGATTTCATGGAATGAAAACGGCACATCATTTGTCGTTTGGAAAACTGCTGATTTTGCTAGGGATTTGCTTCCCAAGTATTTCAAGCACAACAACTTTTCTAGCTTCGTGCGTCAGCTCAACACTTATGTAAGTTCTCAAAATTTTTTGAATTATTCTAAATGAAGGAAATTTTATTGGATGGTTTTAAAATTTATCAACAGATTGAATAGCTTTGGATTATGATGGGGATTGACGAACCAATTAAAGAGATCAATTAAAATTTTATCATTTTAAATTTATATTGATACATTAATATCATTTTTTTTATTGAATTTATATAAAATTTTATTAAAATTTTAAATTGTAAATTCAATATCATTGTATCTTTTTTAAATGGCAAATAAAAAAGGTTTACCAATTATTTCTAACAACTCATTTTTGGTGAGGGCTATGACCGTCTTTTTCTTTTTCCAGTAATTGTACCGGAAGGTTAAAATGAAATTACATTTCCAGCTTGGTAATTTTTTTTAATTTACCGTTTTCTTACAGGGATTTCGAAAGGTTGTTACGGACAAATGGGAATTCGCGAACGAGAACTTCAAGCGGGGCCAAAAAGAGCTGTTGTCAGAAATCCGTCGTCGGAAGGCGGTGACATCATCGCCAGCTAATACTTCGGCGAACGGGAAAACATCTGGTGCTGGACCTTCCTCCCCAACTAACTCTGGAGAGGACCTAGGTTCCACTTCCACGTCATCACCGGACTCGAAGAATCCGGGACCGGTGGAAACGACTCAATTAGCTGATTTATCAGACGAGAACGAGAAATTGAAAAAGGATAACGAGATGTTGAGCTCGGAGCTGGCGCAGGCGAAGAAGCAATGCGACGAACTGGTCGCGTTTTTAACTGAAAGCGTCAAGGTAGGCCCCGATCAAATCAATCGCATCATGCGGCAAGGAAGCTGTGGGTCCACCCATGATGGCGACGATCGTGGCCGTAGCTACGGTGTTGTTGATCTTGACGATCGCGATGATGATGACGAAAAAGGCGGCGGAGAAGGTAACGGAAGTTTGAAACTGTTTGGGGTTTGGTTGAGAGGCGCGGAAAGGAAGAGGGCCCGCGAGGAGAAAATCGTGCACTGTGGGCCACACGCTAAGGCGATGAAGACTTTGGATTTTCCCCACGTGCCCTTGGTGATGAAGAGCAGCAAGGTTTGCAACTGACCAATCAACAGTGGACACGATATCAAGAAGCCTACATGCTGTTTGATTGCATATAATTAGGAATAAGAAATGTTTTATTATGTAATTTTAGTAAGAATATACTAAGTATTTTTATGATTTCTTTTTCATTGTATAATTTAGTTGGGTCAATAAGTCAGCAGTTATGGCAGCCAAAGATCAAAGGCAAATGCGTCTTCGCCTTCCTCTCACTTTGAATGTTACAAAAATTACGCATTTGTAGAGCGTTTCCTTTGAAGGTTAGATTGTTGTTTTTTTTTAATTATTATTATTATTATTTATTTTAAGGTTTAATTTTTTGGCACACATATTATTGGATATGATAACTTATATATTTATATTGTATTTATTTTTAATTAAATATATATAAATATAAAATTATTATATCATAATTTACGTAAATATTATAAATATAAAATATATTTTATGTACGATTTTATATTCAAATTTTAAATGGTGAAGTTTTTGTATGTTTTTAAAAAAGTTTTATTTAATCGTATTGTATTTAAAATCATCATTAAATTATGTCATTACAAGATGAAGAAAATAGCAAAAGCAACACTTAGGTTAGGTGGAATTAGCTTGTATTTTATCCATTATTTATATATAAAACTCTTTAGGGTAATGACGCACCAATTATGATTTATGACATGACTATTTGCTTTAGTTGCCAATCGAATATGATTAAAATAATCATAAATACAATAAAAAAAATTACGATTTTTTTAATATGTTTTTTTTTTAAAAAAAGTTTATACATGCATCCCAGCATGTGGCTCTAAGTTATTTTATATAAATTTTTTCTGTTAAAAAACAAGGCTCATATATTCTCTTTTTCAAATAAAAAAAGTTTTAATATAATAATTCCACTAAGTACTCTCAAGTCTCAAAACATAAGATATATGCTTAAATTCACTTTACTCTTTTTATCATTTTATTGAAAAACTTTAGGATAAATTTTGAATATAGCAATAATTTACCTATCTAATTTTATGCATCCAATCTATAAAATAAGCCTAAGAAGGAATAATTATGTAATTAACCAATAAAAAAGGAAAAAATTATCGTAGGTCAAAATGAAGAAATAATGGAGGTGACTGACGGGCCACAAGATGAAGTTTCCAATAGTGGATACAAGTAGGGTATTCATGGATATCTTTAAATTTTGAAAAATAAAAATAAAAAAAAAAATTAAAGGAAAATTTTCTCTCGGCTCCCTACAATTTTTTCTTAAACACTCTAAAAAATTTTCAGTGAACGTATCTTTCTTAATTCTTTGTCTACTCCGTTCACCACCCCTACTCAATACCTAACCAAATTTCTTTTCTTGTACTTGAATTTTTATAAATTTGCGAAATTTGCGGTTGCATATAGATTCCAAAGGTAGGCATAATAGTTTTGACTGAAGAGATTAAAATAAGCTAGAGAGATCAGAGAATTTGTACACGTTCACATTCTTGTCCAATGTAAATTTCGGTTTGCTTATAGATTTCAAATGCCAAAACCACGATATCGATGGTTTTGTTAAATTGGTATTATTCGTATCTGTTAAATTTTAAATTTTTTGAAATTATTTTATAAATATTTGAATTTGATCTCAACATTATTATCGATTCATTTTAGATTAAACACTTTACATTTTAATGTTAAGAATATGATTTAGTAAATAAAATTTTCTTGTAGAATTGATTATTTTTGTCATTCAAATCTATTCAATCTCTCTCTAAATTATTTAATTTTTTTGGATAATTAAGTGAATTTTATATATCCAAAAGAAATAATATTGTTACAACAAAATTGTTCTAGCCAATATAGCCAGATACAAAACTGAAGCATCAAGAATAGAGTCATTTAGACCCCAAGCTATGCAGATATTGTTTAATATGACTACGAACTTGCACAGGAGATTCCTGCATCTTTCCATATAGCTTGTTGTTTCTCTCTCTCCACACATGTAAATATGAGCACTCCATGCTATCCTTAATATAATGGGAATTAAGGATTTACCTTTTAACTTCTCCATTGGCCAGCGCAGTTCCTCCTCCCAGCTGTCTACTTCTCTGTTTAGTTGATAAAGTTGCAGGTTTCCTTCCATATGCCCTTTGAGAACTCACATTCAAAGAACATGTGATCTCTGGACTCCTGCACTGTGCGACAGAGCAATCATGTAGCATCAACTTCAAAACCCCAAGAGTGCAGCCAGTCCTTGGTAGGCAATTTATTAAGGATTGCTATACAGGAAAATCACTGCATGCTTGGGAATATGGTAGGTGAACCATAGCAGACTGTTTCATCTAATTTTTGGTTGAACAAGCCTAATCTCATTCCAGACCTCAGTCACTGAGTATATAGGACCATGAAATTTTTCGAACAGTTATCCCTCTGTGCTGCATTGTAAACTGAGCATCTAGTTGTCGTAGCCGTAGTAGTTTTCTCCAACTCCAAATACAATTTTTGGTTTCAGACACCTACCAAATAATTTCTCCTTGAAGAACATAGGCCTCGATCCAAGTAGTCCAAATTGAGCTCGCTTTTGACAACAAAGCCCAAATACGTTGAATGATACAGACTTTGTTGCAACTGAAGAGATCTTTAAGTCCAATACCTCCTTTAGATTTGAGGTGAGAGATGAATTGCCAACTTACTCGCAAACCTTTTGCAGGAGTGTCATGCCCAGTGCAGAAGAATCTAAAACAAAGCTGATTAATCCTTTTCAAGACACTTTTGGGAAGAATGAAATGCCTACACCAATAGTTCCGGAGATTAAACAAAACTGATTATATAAATTGGAGCTTACCTACGCATGATAAGAATTTTACAGTCCAAGAATTAATTTTAGCAGTGACTTTTTCGACCAGTGGGGCACAATCCCTATCAGTAAGCCTTCTTGTTATAAGAGGACTCCCATGCAAATTTTCTAGTTTTGATCAAAGAAATTTTATGTTTTAAGCGATGAGATGATAGCTTGCTAGCTTTAGATCAAGGAAGCTGAACCAGGACGCATGGATCACTGAGCTTTTTACAGAAATGTGGATGAAGCAGAAAAAGCATATGTAGAAAAGAGGGATGGTCTGATTAAGAACAAGACTATTGAGATTGATCTGATCGTCTCAAGCTTTCCACGGTTGTTTGGGCCTGACATGTCAAACCGTATACTAGGAATGAGAAGGGAGATATAATAATGGATGAGTGCTAAATGTATGCTCATTGTTGTACATGTATTCATCGGGATATATGAACATGGAATTCCCTTCGTCTGTTTTTCATGGAAAACAACTTAATTAACATTTTTATTTAGTTCGAAAATAGTTATATATGTTACTTAAAGTAATAAAAGAGTTTGATCTGTCAATTAGGGTTGATTGAGTTAGTAAATAACCAATATTTTGTTTGTAAACCTTACGTTAGATTGCCATTGTCAGCATTTCTCTTGATAAGTGGATGATTTGTAAATTTAATATATATATTTTAAAATTTGTAATATGTTCTAACTCTGAAATGAGATAGTCACCCCTCACTTAACATTTTTTCAACAAAAAAAATTCTGATCTTGAGTAATTAAGGTGCAAAAATTAAAACTCAAAAGTTCTGTTTTCAAAGCCAATTTGAGTAGGCTCGGATGGCCTAATTTACTATGAAATTACTTTTTTTTTTCCAATTTTTAAAAATACTCTCTGGGATTATTTTTCTTTATATTTTTAACAACAACGTATCCGTAACGAATTTTTTTTAATAAAACAATAGCGATGGATCTTTTTCTTTGTATAATTTACGTGAATGGTCAGCATCAATGGAGGACTGGCCAGATATTAAGACGATGTGTGTGTGTGTGTGTGGGGATAATTAATATGAAGACGAGATTGCTTTGAATCCTTCAGCTTTTTTTAAACTCATTCTTTCTTGCTTATAGGGTGAAAAACATATGTGCGCCAGCCCACTTTGTGTCCATAGAAGAAGAATCAGACTTAGGTAATGCTGGACAAATAGAGTTGGCAAATCATAAGGATCTGGATTCTAATTAATTCAAGATTAGATCATTTGGGATCCAATTGATTTTGGGTTTAAATATTTTTTAGTTCAAATTAATTTCAGATATTTTTATATTTTATAAAAGATATAATCATGTTAACATAATTTTTGAGTTGGAATAGATTTGAGTTATTATTTCGAATTGACTTATTTGATGTTCAAATTTTTTTAAGATTTTTTTTGGACAGTTGAAGCTGGACAATAAATGACACTGCAAGGGACCAATAGCAGCAAGTTTGAAGCTTGAAGCTTGAACTCTGAACCATGGCTGCCGTCTTCAGCGACATGCAAAGTTTATACGTGTGATTTTTGTACTACACAATAGTATTGTCAATTAAGAAAACATACCTTTTCCTTGCCAAATTAAACCTGTACAAAGCCCAACTCTTCTGTTCACTCCAGCCTAGTTTTCCAGCTGTGGCTTTACCTTTCCTTGGTGTTGGGCGATCTCATCTGAATTAACAATGGTATGTTCTTCGTATTAAACTCTAGATTCATTTTACTTTTTTCCTTTCTTCCTTTTTTTATTGAAGATTATGTTTTGATATTTTCTGAATCTTCAAGAAATTGAAGCAATTACAGATAAAATTGAAGCAATTTTAAGATTAATCCTTGAATTGTTTTCGTGATACATACACTGCAAGAAAAAAGGTTTTTATCGACGAATTTTTCATGTTTTCTTGTAATAATAATCTTTGCTTTGGTTTGTTTATTTATGGCTTATTGCAAACATGTGTGGGTAGTGTTTAATTTAAATTTTTTTGTAGAACTAGAATTTGATTATGTGTTTTTAATGAATGTTTGATCACTCCATTAGGCTAGTGTTTATAAAGGGGCAGCGCGGAAAAACAAGCCTAAGGGATGCCACCATCGACTAAGCAAACAGAAGACGCAAGAGATTAAGGAAATATTTGACATATTTGACACTGATGGCTCAGGTATGAAATGACTTGTTCAGACGGGGGTTATCTTGATACTGGTCGCCGGTATTTTACTGAATCACAGCTTGAATTTGCTGGCTAGGTACCATTGATGCAAAAGAGCTGAAATCCGCCATGATGTATGAATATTTGTTTATGATGTTTCACGTTTGTTAATACATTTTTAGTTGATATCTACAAATTGGAACTAAAAGTTTTAGCATTACAGGTCTCTTGGATTCGAGATGACAAAAGAGGTAATTTTTGTAACGGAGGATATTATAGCTTATTATGTTGTTTTCTTGGAACCCAAATGTTTTGAACTGCTGTGCCATATACAGCAAATCAATCAAATGCTTGCAGAAGTGGACAAGGATGGCAGTGGTGACATTGATTTTGATGAATTTTTGCACATGATGACTCCCAAGATTGGGGAGAGGGACAGAAACAAAGAGCTGATGAAAGCATTCCAAATCATTGATCAAGATGACAATGTAAAGATCATTTTGTCTGTTTGTTTATAATTGATTCGTTAACTGTTTGTGGATGATTATATGATTCTTTCTTCATTTGAATTCAGGGAAAGATATCTGCCCGAGACATTAAATGCATTGCAAAGGAGCTTGGCGAACACTTCTCTGACAAAGATATTCAACACATGATGGAAGAAGCAGACCAAGATCGTAAGCTAACCCTTCTTCTCGAATCTTGGTACATTACTCTATGATGTTTTTCAAGCAATTTTGTCCATATGGTGGTATATTTTGATGTCATTCACTTTTATTTTCTTCAACTATGTGGATGTCTCCTAATAATTTCGAGCTTACAATATCTTGCTACAGTTAGTGTATTTTTTATGTTTTAGTGCAGCCATAAGCCTCTTCTGCCATGGTATTTTTTGTGCTACATGAAAATTAACATAATTTCACTGTGTGAATTTGTTGAAAACTCTCATTTATGTTCAAGAAAGAATATTGATCATTGTAAATTCTGAATGCAGATGATGGTGAGGTAAGTATTGATGAGTTCATGGGGATGATGAAGAGAACTACTTACGGCTACTAGAAGTGAAGTTCCACTTACTGCTGAAGCCTGAAAGGATGGGCTGAATGCAGTCGTGCTGTAGCTGTGGAATATATAGTTGTGCAAATAAACTCAAAAAGATTGAATGTTTAAACATGTAGCTGATCTATGTTATGTTAAGTAATATGAATGATTATTGTGTTGCCTTTGTTTGGCTGGATTAATGGCGGCTACCTCCCTCCCATCCCATGATTATTATTCTGAAGGAGTACAATTTTTGGCATATAAGTGGAAAAAATGGATTAAGGATTGTTGCTAGTATATTTTTGCAGTTATAGAGCTAGATGAAGTGAGATGAAGAAGAAACATATATTCAACTAAAATTTGGATTAATTTATATGTTATAAAAGCTGAAACTTGAAAATTAGAATTTCAAAAGAATTTACATACTTAATATCTTTTTTAACCAGATAAATAATAAAATAAAATTTTAAAGATAAATTAGAAACTTAAAATTAAAAAAAAAAAAAAAAAAACAGCTGGATCCTTCATATTATCAAGTTTTAATACATCAAATCCCTAAACATTTATGAACCTAAGAAAATGACATGTAAGAGTGATGAAGCACGAGAGTGTACCCACCAATCTATCCACCTCCTTCAGACAAACACTACGTAGAATCTACAAGGCCAGCAGCAACTAATTAAACTACTGAATTGACCAAATGCCCATCTCTTCATGGCTAGACAACTTCAAAAACAAAACCAAAACTGCTCTTTACCAACCAGTCATCAGAAAAACTAGAGTAGCTATTTGATAGATACTGGTAAATTTCCAAAACTCAGCACTCACCAGTCCACTTAGCTTAGCCAAGACATTTAGCTAACCCAAGACATTTAGCTTAGCCACAAAAAAACCAAAAAAAAAAAAAAAAGGAACAAAATAAAACAAAAGAGTTGACATCTGGTGAAAAGAAATGTTCCACCCTTTGATTCTCTCTTTCAATTTGAGGTCTGAGAAGCGTAGTTTCCTATCATCATCATGATGTTGAAGTCCCTTTTGTAGTCTGTTTAGCCACATAAATCTGCTTCATCTTTGAAGAGGGAAAGTTCTTATCGCCACCCATCGATTGGTTTCTATCTTGGAAACCCATTCTACGATGGGTCCATGCACCCGGGCTGTTCTTTTGCAGAATCCCACTTCCTCTCTGATGATTATACCCAGGGAAGTTACTGTAATGCTGGGTAGATGATTTGTTATTTTGCAGGGAAGACTGAACTTTTAGTACCGGATTTGTGCTCTGGCCACTATTTCTAATCCCACCACCATTTTCGACATCAGTCTTGCCAGCATCTACAACTGTGGTTTGGGATGAGCTCTTAGCACTATCTTGTGCTGAAGCTGCAGCAATGGTAGAGCGAGATGGTTCCACCAGCCCTAGTTCATCAGGCAACTGCGTGATGGTTGCATCTGTTGCCACAGGAAATTTCCGACTGCTGTCAGAGGATGTTGATGTTCGGGACTCCAGAAAACTGTTGCTAGTCAATGACTGGTCAACAGGAAGCACCTTGCTGAGCTGAGAAGGTAGTATACCTTCTGCCTGTTGCTGCAATGGCATTGATGGTGTAACAGACTGCAGAGATGCAGGAACATGAGACCAATGAGCTTGGACCGACATGCTTGGTGTGGTCTGAAGGAAAAGTTTCAACATATGCCTTTGTCAGATCAGATGAAAAGTGGGGAAGGGGAAGGAACAAAGGGGGGAATAGAAAACTGTCATAAATCAAACAAAACATTACAAACAGAAAAAAAAAAAAAACCAACACTATGACAATTCTAGTCATCCAGCATTACAAGTGCACCTATTCAATAAAATCCACTTTAAAAGCATTTATGACTATATCTATAACATCCATATAGACAACTAACTTTAAAATTCAAAAAAATTATTGTTGTAGAAACAAATTCATTGGGAAAAAGGACTAAGACTCCAAAAAACAAAACAACCTGGTGAGTATTCATAATGCTGGCAGTTTAATAGCTTGAGGTTTGCTAAAACTTTTACCTGGAAAGGAGAAACATCAAACATGGCAAGTGGAGATGCCATCGGCAGAAGAGGTGACCCAGGCCCTGGGGCAAGATGCTGGATTTGAGCAGGCATGTTGGTAGAATTTCGCTGTGAAGCTGTCATATTTAAATTGTTCAAATCCCCTTCACCAATTGCAGAAGAAGCAGGGTTGTGCTTCCAGTCAGGTTGCTTTCCAGATGGAATGTAGGTTGCACCCATGAAACTTAGTCCAAACTGTCCAACTGGAGCAAAATGGTTGTAGACAACCATATGTGGTGGGCCTTGAACTCCACGGATACCTCCTGGTGGGGTGATAAAATGGCCAGTGAATCCTGTTGGAGGACCATAGAATGAATCTACTCCAGAATGGCATTGTTGCCAGGTCCCTAAGGGACCTGAAGCTGGTGTGCTACTCTTCTGAGACTGCGATTGGGTAGATGAAGATTCCTCATGTGGTCCAAAGGCAAAGATTGGTCCCCCCATCATGTGGCTCATTTCATAGAAGGGGAAGTGCGAAGGAGGGCCCCCTGGAAAATGGGAAATCATCTGGCTTGAAGAATTCTGTGGACTAGGTAAAGGTGGCCATAAAGAAATTGGTGGGTTCTCAACAGAAAGATCTGCAGGAAGAGAAACACTGAGAGACTCTTCCGCCTTATTTTGACTTGATTCCTGACCACCATCACCTGCAATATAGATTAAAAAAAGCCAACGCATTTATTAACATCCAAAAAAGCAAAATCATAGAGGGATCGTACTTTGATTGCAGATTATTTTATTAACCACCTATAGTGATAACATCAATGTCTGCACTTCCAAAACCTTTATTATCTGCAACAGAAACGGGGTGGGTACTCATTCCATTCCCAACGATCTCATCACTAGTTATGGCAGCAACAGCAACAGCTGAGGCAGCTGCTTCAGCTTCAGCTTCAGCCTCGCAGTCTTCCAAATGAACACAAGATTCATTTGAATGTTTCTCTTTTTCAAAATGGGTGCAATTGTTCTCAGCCATAGAAAGATGGAGGGGTGTATGAATTTCAGATTGAGATGGACCTGGAGGGCCAATCACATGTGAAACGGTATGGCTGCTAGTACGAAGAACTGTCGGAGATGAAACTGCTCCTGTATAAAGAGATGATATACTTAAGATACTGGGCAACAGTAATTCTAAGAAACTATATAATATCAAAAAGAAAGACTACACCAACCAAATTGTATTTTCTCTCCAGCAAAAAAAGAATTTATTGGACTTGCAGCAGAAGAAAGTGACTTGCCCTTCAATAATTTGGATGAGGATGGCATGTTGGGGTCAGTAACTGAGCTAGTGCAATCTCCAACAGGAGCACAAGTATCAAATTGAACAGGCTTCATAGCATCATCAAGTTGGGTCTGTGTCAATGTTATTACCTACAAGATGCAACCAAATCAGTTTTGGACTTTCACAGATTTATTGTCCAAATAAATAGAAGAAAGAATACCAGTATTTACAAGCACAATAATTTACAATAAATAAACTCATACCAACACGCATGAAAATACATGACAGTTCAATCAACCTTCACAGTGTCAAGTTTAATCATAATCAATCTAGAACGCATAATTTACCAGCCTGAAGTTAGAAGGGAAAATGAAAAACAGAGTCAGCAGCAATTAAAGCTTGCAGCACCATGGTATCAAATATGCCTACAGGCATCCTGGAAACAGAATATATCAAAGTGCAGAAACGCACAGATACACATGCATGCAGATGTGCACAAACATATGTATAAAAAGATTAAACAGTGCACCACACATGCTAACTCCAATCCCAAGTAAAAGATGTCGAAGAAAAGTTGAGAAGAAAGCAACCAAGAAAAGTAAGACCTAAGCATGTTGATGGGGCATGTATGTAAATCAATCTAGTTCTGAAGTGAAGATAAAATAACACAGGCCCTAGGATCTATGTTGTCAGATCAGTTTATAAAAGTGGGAAGATGCACAAAAAGGCAAAACTGAATAATCATCAGAAGCCCACGAGTCCTGCAGATCTACTAGAAACAGAGTGCAGCACTAAACTGCTACAAAAGTTAATAAGTTAGCAAATGAAGTTATTCATACCTGTTGATTAATGCATGAATTACTCCACGAACACAAGGATGTCTGAACATTATGATGAACCTTATTCTTGCTTTCAAACATGAAGCCTGATACTAGGTTTGGTCCACCACCCGACGCCACCGGAAGGGAGGTTGTCTGAAGAGAACTGTAGAAAATCATCAGATTTAGCTATCTGTATGCATATTTTATAAATGTATGTTAGTTTCTTTCAGAGAGGTATATACTTCACTGCCTGTGATCTTATATCAGCTTGTGCATCAGTTTTAATGGCAGGAGTACCAATTGGAGCCAAGGGTTGGGATACTATAGTTGCACCAAATCCTGCTGATAATTCACTATTTGCCAGATTACGTCCATCAGTAGCAACAAAATCAGAGCGAACTTTGCTGGTTCCTTCTCCACTTGCTGAAGCAGAATTTCTATTTGACCTGGCTGAGACAGTGGAACTTGGTGGGATTGAGCGAGGTTTTCGTGGTGGCTGTCATAAAATATAAATAAATGATGTTAAGAAACATGGTCTTATTGCACTGAACCAGCAAAAAGAAAGGTAAAATATCCTCTAAATGTAATGCCAGTCACAAAAGAAGGTTTTAGTTCAAAAATAAAAACCTTTGCAACCCGGGACTTTGCTTTAATTTCTTTTTCTCTCTGCTCACGCCTGTCATTCAGCATTTGCCTCTTTGATCTGACCTCAATGAAGTCATCTTCATCACTGGCTGCTTCTATTCCAGGTTGCTCAAAAACACGCACAATGCCACTTTGCAAAGGAGCATCCACATCCTCTTCAATATTCCTCTTAAGATTACCTTCCCCAGAGTGTGGGATATTCTGACTCCTCATCAATGATTCTTTTCCCAATCCCTTGTCATTCATGTTCCGAGAATCTATCTCCTGGGAACTGACCAGAGCTGAATTGCAACATTCTGATTCAATTGTCTGTTTTGATTTATTCACCAAAACAACTTTCCTCGCCGCATTTCTTGTGGAAAATCCAGTACTCCTTCCATTGGCACCTGACTTATCATCCGGCCCCACTTGATTCAGGTGGTTTGAAAAAACCATTCCAGAATACTGCTTCTTATCAGAATTTTCCCTAATTCTAAACTCTGTTCTAGGATGTCGAGCCCTCCTTTGATATCCAGTAGACTCTTGGCGAGACGCCTCAGAAGCAACAAGAGCTGATCTTGGGTTAGAACCTTTAACTGTAAAGACATACTTTTTCCCCCTATTACTATAAGTTTGGCCCCTTAACCCACCTAAATCCTTCTCTTTTGAAACTGACTGAGATGATGCCAGAACAGTTTTTAGCTCAACTTCTGATTGTTTAAGAGATAATGCTTTAAAGTTTCTACGAACCGAATTCTGGAGCCCCTGGTCTTCTGAAGGGAAACATGACTCGGACCTGGCTGTTTTATCACCAATATTTGACATCTCTACATGATCATGCTGTGTCACAACACTTGTTCTGCTTTCTCTGGCTGGTATGGAACTTTCCTCTTTCAACACATTCCCATGTGATAAATCCAAGGACCTTGGAAGACCTGTCTGGTTATCCAAAAGTGATGACACTTCGTTTTTCATTAGATTATGTGCAGAAGTGTCTTGACTGGCCTGAACAGGCTGAGGGACTCCAGGGTTCTGGTTCAGGGAGAAGTTGGCTGGAATGTTTGGCTGGACAAAAGACACAGATTGAGGAGCCAATGGCAGCACTCCCTGGGAAATAGGAGATGTATACCTTAACCGACCAAAGAGAGGAGGTTGTGATGGGTGTATTTGGGTGAGGGATGGCCCAACCTGAGGATGCAGATGAAGAGGCATCTGTATAGAACCAATCTGTATGGCTGGAACAGGAGATGGTATTAAAGAAGGACCTGAGAACAGCCCAAATTGGAGCTTATTAGGTGCTTCAGCCTGATTAGGAACAGAAGCAGTAGGCATGACACTCTGACCAGAATATGAATGGGAAGCCATACTGACAGAATAGGGAAGAGTCTGCTCCGCCAACACACCAGTGTTACCAGTAGCATCCACACGATCCATTAGCTCAGATGTTGTTGATGCTTGAGGAGCAGTATTAGGCTGAATCACCAGATCCTGCATGGCCTTCTCAGTTTCCCTGAAGATTCTAGAAGAACTATCTAAACTCCCTTGGGAAGGGGCGTCAATGGATTTAAGGGTATTTCTATCACTATGTATCCCATCAAAAGACACCTTTTCTTCTACAGAGCCAACAGATATCTGTGTTATTCCATATGCAGAGTCCTCCTTCCCGGAACTTCTTTCAAACTCATCATTTGGCATGCCAACCTCAACCCCCTCATTGAAGCCTAAGACCAAGTTGTCCATCAAATCAGGCGACTCGTTATCCTCATGATGCAATTCATCAAACTCTCGAGTCAGGTCAATATTGCCATCATCTCCTTCATGCACTTCATCTTCTTCGTGGTATCCATCTTCATCCTCATCATATTCTTCTTGCTCCTGCAACTGTTCATTGTTATCAACAATCCATTCCTCATCATCACCGGCTGAAATAGAACTTGAGGCAGTCCGAATGTTCTCTTTCCCAACTTCAGTAGGTAACACGAGGGGTTCGATACCCTGCCCAGACAAGTCAACCTCTTTACCCTCTTTAGCTGATAACACTGTAGAATCTCCAGACTCGTCTAAGTCATCATGAGAAAGATGAATTGGGGAATCTGGGGGGCTTGAAACAGATAGGGATGACTGTGAGTCACACCTTGCCGCATTGCCATCCACTTTCTGCGCTTCGTTATCAGTATTCTCAGGCTGAGTATCAATAATTCCATGCTGTCCAAGTTTGTCCTGATAACCACTATCATAAACTCTCTCTATGCCAGGTCCACCTCTTGTTGCATAATTGTACTGTATCTCATTTTCTAGGAATGTTGAGGGACCAGGACGCTCATTCTCACCTCTATATGAGGCTTTCTGCATTGAAGACAAAGATGGAGGAGGTAAGACACGAGGCTGCCTCACAGAGTGTCGGGACCTCCCAAAGGAATAAAGCGCATCACCCTCAGGGTTGTGATAGAACCTTTCAGGGTAGGGAGGATAAATATTACCACGAGAACTCTGCCCCCATTTTACATCACCATAATTCTCAGCTAGATTCTCATGATATTCGGATTCAATCTCAGCATTTCTGCCATAGTGATCACCATCCCCAGAAACATTCCACCTCTGACCCCTTGGCTGACCATAGTCATCCATGTGGGGTTCTGGAACCCCTGCTCTATAATAAGGCCTGGCAGACATGAATGGAGGTGCTCCATAAAACTCCTTCCTTGGAAATGGCCTACCCCCAATAGATCCATCTCGCCTAGGGCTATGGTGACCATTCTCTATCTCTTGCCCAGTGAAGGCTGAGCTGTTTCCATTCTCAAATACATCTCTTCTCCATGAATTAAAGGGCTTACTTCTATCTGAAAATGCAGAAGAGGCATTAGAGAAGTGAGGCCTAGAAGTCATCCCAAAGGGTCTATTTAGACCAGATGAATCAGAAGAAGCTGAAGTTGTGATTCTTTCCACCACCCTTTCACCATCTTCCCGATCACCAACATCTGTTGCTTTAGGTATATCTCTTTCTTTCCCCATTCCTGAAATTTTCTCATCTGCTCCAGCAGAAAAATTACCACCACCCTTCGTTGTTTCAGCCTGCCTCTTGGCAATTCTTTCCTCCAACTCTAAGAGTTTTTGTTTAGCAGCCTGTTTTCTCCTTTCCTCCTCCATAAGAATCCTGCGTTTTTCCTCTTCTCTAGCTATCCTCTGTTCTTCAGCTCTCCATGCAGCTTCCCGAGCTTCTTCTTCTAACCTTCTCTGCTGTTCTTCTCGTTCCCTAGCCAACCACAGTCTCTCCTCTTCTTCTCTACGAGCTTGCTCCAAAGCTCTTTCCTGTTCTTCAATAATTCGCTGCCGCTCCTGTTCCTGCATCTTCTGCACTCTCTCAAGTTCAGCCTCAAATGATTCCCTGACAGGGTCATAAAAATCAGTTTGTTTAAGCATATCTTTCTTCCTCTTAACGACCCCAACAAGATTTCCTGCAAAAGAATCCCGTCCATCAAATCCAGTAGCATCAAAGTCCTTCATGAAAGGGTCTTCTAGATAAGGTTTTTCATTCTTGGACAACGGACGTTTCTCTCTACCGAAATTTAGTATAGGATCATTAACAGGAAGTCCTTTACCACCCAAAGGAAAAGATGATTTTGATAAAAAACTATTCTGGAAAGCATCAACTTTGTATCTATTGTATTGCTCATTGCCATAACGCTCCCTTGTATTCCTCTCAGACCCTCTACTACTAAATGAATCTGTTGTGTTGTTCCAAGCTTGTCTTCCATCGTTTCCATAACCCACATCTCTCCTTCCATTATCTTCCGCGTATTGTCCCGAAAAGGCGATGAAATGTACTTATTCTCCTTTTCTCTGTTCATACTTGAAAGCCTTGTGCCAATGATATTTCTGTCACTTGCAATCTCATGAGAACCAATTCCCTCTTTAGGAAGAGGGGAAGAAGATTTCCATGCGTTCCCTTCCCGCCCTTCTCTACTTGGTGTTTTTGCCTTTCTGCCATAAGGGTCCAATTTAGCGACTTCACTGGAAGAAGTACGTCCAGTTTCATTGTCACGCGGTCCCCACCTGTCAACAAGACTACGAGCTGGTTTGTGTGGCAGCACACCAACCCTTGGCATATCAAAATCTCTATCCCAGTAAGCTTCGATTTTTGAATACCCATGATCCCTCCCACGGTCTGTAAAAGCCCGACCTGTATCACGTTCATCATCAGCCCAATCAGATCTAGGATTCAAGCGAACCAATGGAAGTGGCCCCGGGAAGAACTCATCCTGCTTCTTACCTTGCTCTAATAAGCGAGAACCACTTACACCATGAACTTCACCGTCATTCTCACTCAATCCATTGACAACAGCAATTCTTCCTGACTGCAATTGAGGACGCATATCAATAACTGAACTCGAACAATAACCATCCGTACGCTCATTAGACAACTCCTCAATTGGCAATTGCTTCTGCTTCTGATTCACACCATCCTTCTGTTTCTTTTCAACCCCTAATACAATAGGCAAAGCTGCCTGCAATGAAGGAAAATCCTCACCCCTCAACACTGTAGCTTTATCCAAAGGCGGAAAACCTTGAGCTGAAGCAGTCACCGAGGAAGTTGGCCCTGCCACACCTGACCTAGCCGAAGGCGGCATATAAACACCACTACTTCCCCTACTGACCACATCACCAACATTCAAACCCTGATCAACCCCCTCATTCACATGATCACCACCACCAATCAACCCTTCTTTCTCCTGCAAAGCAACTGTACCGGGCTTAGTCCATCCCATCCCCGATGAAGTAGGCGTTGGCCCACTACCGGAAATCCCTCCACTGGCAGGCAGACCACCGGGGCCCAGCGAATCAAATCGCTCATGCTCCTTTCGCAAGGATGGTAAATTCAAGGGAGGTGGAACAGATAACTTGGGCGCAGCCTTTTGGGAGCTACGAGGCCGTGAAAGAACCACCATTCCTCCCCCTCCTCCACCGCCAGCACCGGGTCGTGCCCGATTCGACCCATTAGAACCCGAATGATGTGAATGGTAGTGATGTTTAGATGGTTGTTGGCCATAGGACTTGTTCAGATTGACTGAAACAAATTTATTTCCAACTCCGGAATTTGCCATAGGACGATCCAACCCGAACTTTTAATCCGTTTGACGGATTCCGATGATCCCCTCCAAAGCATCAAAACCCTAACCCTCGATTTTACTTCCCTAAACAGATCTCGAGTAGCAAATTGATGATCAGATAATAAATCAATCAAAACCCGCAAAACTCTCTGATTAAAAATATTTTTAAAACGCCAAAAAATTAATTAATTAACAAAATAGATCAATTTTACTGTAACTGCGAAATGAGAAGGGGAATATAAATGGCTCGAGAGAATCTATTTTGATGCTAATTTTTATTTTTATATTTTAAAAAAAGGAGTAAAAAAGGAAAGAAAGGAGTGTAGAATAAAGAGTTACCTCCGGGGGCGTAGGATAGAGACCGAAGAAGCTAACGTGCGCCGCGCTGATTACAAGCACGAGGGAGAGGGAGAGGGAGAGGGAGAGGGAGAGAGAGAGAGGGACGGGAAATGAGCTCAAAGCACGAGGGAAAAAAAATCAGGAAAGGTTTCTTTATTTGTGTTTCGTTCCCTTTTATTTATGTTTATTTAGATTTTGGCCCCTAAAATTTTTCTGTTTTTAACATGTCTTTGCTGACGTGTAAATATATATATTTTTAACACTTTCGTTGGTTGTACTTTGGATTGTGGTTGTAAGTTAGAACAGAGTTTATGTACTTTTGTTACTGTGATTTTACACTTTTACAGTGGCAGAATTGCAGCTGTTTGATGAATTTGTTTCTTCAGTGAATCTTTCTCTCTTTTTTACCTTGAGATAAGATTATGATAAATACTACGTATTTGTTATTTAAAAAAATAAAATAATAATTTTTTATTTTATCATTTTATTTAAATAAATTTTTATAATTTTATTATATTCAAATAAATTTTTAATTTTTAATTCATATTTAAATAAATTTTTAACATAAAATAATTTTTTAAAATAAAATTTTATTTAAATATAAATTAAAATTTAAAATTTATTTCATTATAATAAAAATTAAAAAATATATTTAAAAAACAAAATAATTTAAAATTTTTTATATTTAAAAATAAAATTTTGAGGTGTAAAAATGTTGGGTATGGAAATGGAAAGTGATTTGTTCAATCCTCTTTATTTAATTAGTAATAATTATTAATAAATGCGGAAACTTCATGAATTAGATTACGGGCAAATAAAGAGATTTTATGTATTAAAATTGTAAATAACTTGAAATTTGAATTGAAATTAAAAAATAATAATGAATCAAGAGACGAATTTTTATTTATTTTAAATTTGATTTAATTTTATATAATAAATATTTAAATTAACTTAATTGGATATAAATACTAATAATTTTAATAAATAATTGATCTAGTTTGCATTTACATAAAAATCATAATTAACTTAAAATTAATAAAATATTTTTTAAATGTAAATATTATTTATTAATATAAATTTTAAAAATATATAAAATAATAATAAATATTTTATATATATGAGACAAGTTTGATAAAAATTCGATATCAACCCCATCTTAATTGTTGACAAAAAATTCGATCTAATCCAAAATTCGATTTAAAATAATAATAATAATAGATAGCCCTCCAGGGTCGGAACGAGGTCCGACAGAATAGAGTTGGATTGCTAACCCTATTGAAATTCCTGAGTCCTGATTCCTGACCGCATTAACTCAAATAAGGTCCGAGTTGGTAGAGAAAACAGCAACAGTTTGGAACACAAAGAGAAAGAGATCATGGCTATTGATGCAATCGAAGCTTCATCTCCTCCCTCTCAAACCCCTTCCAATTCCAGGTACTTCCCCTTAAAAAAAAATCAAATTTATTTATTTTTTTCTTAATTTTCATTCTATTTTTTTCACTAATAAATTCATGAATTTGCAGCTCTTCCAATCAACTTCACCACTTCTACGTGGCCGTCGACAGACACCAATTCAAAATGGTCATCTCGTTCTTTCTCTCCCTTCATATTTCGATTAATTTTCAATTTTTTCAGTATTTCTAAAATTTGAAGGAATCCATATTTGCAGGAGACGTTGATTGACCTCCTAGGCGTGGCGGGTCGACGCACGTGCCTTCCGATAGTAGTCTGCTGCAGTTCACGTGACGAGCTCGACGCCGTCTGTTCCGCCGTCTCGAACCTCCCTTACATTTCGTTGTCCTCTTTGGTAATTTTGTAGTATTAACTATTAATTTTATACCATTTTTTACTATTAATTTTATATTTTTATTTCTCAATGCCAGTACAGCGATCAAGCTGAAGCAGAACGATGTTTAATTTTGGAGAAATTTAGGGAGGCAACGATGAATTGGAACCAACAAGTTAAGGTTCCGACAGGAGATGGTCTTGAAATTGAAAAAGATGAGCAGAAATCTTGTATGATTGTTGTAACCGATGCCTGCCTCCCACTTCTTGCTTCTGGGGAATCTCCTATCTCAGCTCGTGTTTTGATTAATTATGAATTACCAACAAAGAAGGTAGAATTTCTCATTGTTCTTTCTATCTCTCACATTATAAATGAAAAAATCAGTGACTTTAGGTGCTCGTTAGTAGAAGCCTTTAAATATAAATGTTCTATGTTGTTGTAGAATCTTAAGATTACAATGATATAAACATTTTTAACATCTTTTAGTCTGTGGACTAAGCTTGTATTGTTTGTTTACAACTTGTCAATTTGATTCATTTGGGTCTCGGGTGCTATAAGAATAACACAATTCAAGATTCAAGGTTGACTAGGAATCATAGATTAGCAAGGATGGAATTGCTTATTTTACTCTCCATAGTTTGCCCAAAGGGAGATCCAAATGGTGCAGTAGGGCGTCCATGGATATCCCCAAATATTGAAAACTAAGAAAATTTGAAGGAAAACTTCCCCCGAGACACCCCCAAAAACTTTCCTCTAAACACCCTTTCAGTCAATAAAATTGATAAATCCGTTGGCAATTATATATATATATATATATATATATATATATTATAAGTGGATACCTTCAGAAAAAATTCTGGATTCGCCACTGAATTTGCCTGATTAAAGAGTTTAGTGATGTAGAAATCTAAAAATCTTTGAATCATGGCCCCTTTGGCTACTTTTATATTCATGTCTTCTTGTACAACAAGGTTGTGAAATCAGCTGTCAGAAGCAAATTACAATATCTTGTTTGGTAGTGTCAATGTTTGATTACCAATTTGCTATTCAACTGAGTTTTCTAAATCTAGTGTAGTACCTGTTTTAATGATGCTCATTCAGTGGCCTAGGGTTCTGTCTTTGAGCTACTAGTTTATTTAAGGTCATGAAAAGTAGCAGTTCATTTTCTTCGAATGTTTTTTTTGTGTGTAATTATGCATTATTTACCAGGTGTCAAAAATGTATTTTTGTAATTTTTCCTTTTCTACTTGGACATGTTTGCAGGAAACATATATGAGGCGCTTGACTTCGTGTTTGGCAGCAGGTTCCTTCCCTGCCATAATACTTCCTTTTTTGTTCAAATATTATGAATTTTCTATTCCCACAATGGTTTCATCGAAATATAAGCAGATGGAATTGTGATCAATATGGTTGTTGGTGGTGAAGTGGTAACTCTGAAGAGCTTAGAGGAAAGCAGTGGCCTAATCATAGCTGAGATGCCCATTAATGTAAGTAAAGTACTTGGTCTTTTTCTTTGACTTATGGATCAGTAAATGTTAAGATGGCATTAAGTTAACAAAAATGCCCAACTGGTTGCACTTGACAGCTAGTGTCAGTAAATATAAGCTCTCTTCTTCACTTAGCATTATTGTTCCAAGTGTAATGATAATCTAGTGGCAGTTCAGTTTTAGAAATTATCCATTATATTTCTTTAGGTTATCTATCAACCTATATGTTGGTATTAACTCAAAAAGCAATCTTGTTGCAGATTTCTGAGATTTTGTGATGATTTTCGGTCTTCTGCAATCTCTAAATACGTGACAGAGGATATGATCCTTCACACTTTCGACAGCATTCAGAGTGCTGAACATATCAGCTGGTGTATGAGTCGTGACACTGACATTGAACATTATTCTTGTAATAGTCTATGCAATCTCTTCTTAGTTTTAGATATAAGCTTCTTTTGTACCTCTGTCATCTTATCGTGTGCGCAGACTCAATTTGCAAAGCCTTCAAATGTGGATCTAGGAGTTTTTAAGGAAGAAAAAACCATATTTTTTTTCTTCCTTCTGTTTGTTTTGTCTGATGCCTGTAATTTCCAGTTTTATGGAAGAAAGCCATCTTTCCTTTCCTGCAGAATGCAGTTCAAAGGATGTATGTTTGGGCTGGGTCATCATTTAATGATAAAACAATTGTTTGCTGGCAAGTTTAAAAATGTTGCTCGCCCTTGAACAAAAGTATGAGTCGGTTCCAGTTTAGTTGGCATACGTATAGGCTAAAGTCATGCCAATGGGCCCTAGTTCAAATTGGCTGTGGACTTGCCTCCTAGCAAAAATGCAATTACTGTCAAATTGGCTGTTCAAATTTGCCTCCTTTCAGCTTTTGTTGCTCAATGAAGATATAGATAGATTATCTCAAGAATGTGTTAAGGATGTTTCACCAAAGGAGCAAGCTGATTCCTTTCAGTGCCAATGTCAAGCCTGGGGACCATCACTCTCAAAGATTGGTGTTCTTTGTATTTTGTTCTTTGTATTTGGTTTTTGTTTTTTATTTTTTAATAAGTAAAAAATAAAAGAGATAAATCCAAATGCCAAGAAATATCTTTAATTTCTCTTGTTTATCTCTCAGGTTGTTGAAGAGATCAAGCAGCTTTATGCCATAGCCCTGCCTATATGTGATCATTGCTGGTTTTCTTATCTTTGGAAAATCAGCAATATCGATGTCTTTTTAGGGGGAAATTGGGCAAAGAAGGATTGGCAGGAGGGTCTCTGTCGATTGGTACTGCTAACATTATAGGCTATTCTGTCATTTCTGGCCTTGGAATGGGAATGGACGCCATTTCTTTTCAAGCCTGAGGAGCCAAGCAGTAGCCTCTTATGGGCCAAACCCTACAACGCACCATAGCCATCCTCTCAATAGCCTGTTTTCCCATTCCAGTATTGTGGCTAAACCCGAGGCAGTTGCTACAATGGCAACTTCACTTATCTATATCTTCCCTTCATCTTTGAGTCCAGCCGTGTCAAGACGGGTTGGTAATGAGTTGGGAGCAAACCAGCCAAGCAAAGTTAAAACCTCGTCCATGATTGCATTATCATGTGCCATTTTAACTAGTTTCATGGCTATGTCATTCATAACAACAATGAGGAATGCTTGGGGACAAATATTCACTAATGATAAAGCGATTTTGTCTTTGACGGCAAGGGTGATTCCGGTAGCAGCTGCGAGCTAGGGAACCGCCCACAAATGGGCTGTGGGTTAAGAGGCAATGCTAGGCCAACTTTTGGTGCCAACATAAATTTGGGATCCTTCTACGAAGTTGGATTGCCTATAGCAGTTTTAATGGGCTTTGTCATGGATATAGGCTAGTTGGGCCTTTGGTTGGGCTTTTTGGGAGCCCAGGTGGTTTGTGCTATAGTCAATTTAGTCATGGTCATAGTGGTGGCTAGAACAGACTGATGATTTAGTGCAAGCAAAAGGAAAACGCGTTTCATGTCCACTTCGTTTTCACAGCTCCTGGCTGAGAAAGGCATAGTATCGTTTACTTTAGTATAGCTAACATCAATTTTGCCGAAAGGTGAGTCGGATTGGTTGTGCTTATGATTCATCTTGTAGTGGAAGACGTTGCAGAGTTGTTTATAATGGCTTACTCTATTTAGAGATAATCAACGTCGGCCTAATAATTAGGTTCCATGCAACTTAACAAAAAGATGGTATAAAGACATGTTAAAAGATGCCAATAGCAACAGGTAAGAAAGTGCCATTGCCACCCATGGCTGGTAGATTATTCTGTTTGCCACTGACATCAATCAATTCAAGCATCACCTTTTGAAGAGCAATTTAACTAATAACACCATAAAAAGCACATCACTATAGCCTTCCATTATCAGAGAGTTTGAGAGAGATGGCGATCATCCGGTGTATTAAGGTCCATCCCAGCAAGGAAATGACGGTGGATGAATTCAAAGCCTGGCTCAGCCATTTCGATGCTGATCATGACGGACGGATCAACCAGGAAGAGCTAAAAGACGCTCTGCATAGCCTGAGAGTTTGGTTTGCATGGTGGAAGGCACGCCAAGGAATGAAAGAGGCAGACATCAATCATGATGGCCAAATTGACAACGCCAAGGAGATTGAAAAGCTGGTGAATTATGCTCAACAACGCTTGCATATGAAAATTTATCAAAGTGATTGGTGATCTTTAACATTACTAGTATACCATGTGTTTGCAGATGTGTGTACTATTTCATAATGAAGTTGAAGTCTAGGCTCCCCTTGTGGTTTTCCTGCTTTTCTCAATCCAGGTTCTGTTGCATGACAAATTGCATTCTAATTCTACAAGCTATTGGCCTGTTAGTTGTTCCTTCATCTGAAAAGCAATGACCTTTACAGCCTACTCCAGGCTTTGAGGAAGCCCAAAAATTGTGAAGCTTGGTTTAACATATTTCATAGACTTTCTGGCTAATGGTTGGCCCTTGAATTTCGTATAAAAGTTTGAAATCTTGGTAGAAAACAAAAGATTTCTGCAACCAATGACGCCGTTCCAGTAAAAGGGAAGCAAAACCAAAAGAGGACCAGTCAAAATTAAAGAACATGTCACTTAGTCCGTACTTACCCCCGCAACAATAAAGACTTCACATAGCTTCTTCACTCAACTAGAGAACTTCGTTTTCCTTCTGAGACAACATTGGGAAACGAGCAAAAATGTTTTTGCACATTAAACAATGTTTCTCATGAGAACAGAGGACCCCCCCTCCACTCAACAAGATGGTTTTGTATTACTCTTAGAAAATCTATGATAAAATTCCAAGCTGTTGCTAGCAAGATAACAGACCAGAATGAAGAGTAAAGCTTGGATGAAGCCCAAAAAGCAACTGTTTCAGTTCAGCTTCAGCACCCTACCCACAGCCAAAGACACTGTGTGTTTTGGATTCAATGTGGAGTTTTGACTGGTCCTCTTTTGCAGGCATTGATTGATGATAATCCACCGCGTGTCATAACCCCATGTAGCTGAATCTGGAAAAATAGTTCTTTTGACTCATGATAGAGACAACCGTGATGTCCTTTTATGAGTAAAAATTCAATTCAAGTTTTAAAAGCAGACCAGTCTTCTTTGTATTCTTCTTTAACCCACATGTTAGTCATACCATAGCTCACCATGATCTTTGAAACTGTTCCTTTGCCAGATTCTAGACCTAATTCCAAACCAAATTGTTGGTGTATAATTAGATACTCAACATACTATGTACTGTTGTTATGCTAGAGAAAAAAACAACAGAATTCCAATTACTGCATTGTTTATTAATGCCAACAGATGAAGAGGCAAAGGGTTGCTGGGGAGTTTTTCTTTTTTTTTTTTTGATAAAAGAACATGTGCATTATGTCTATTCCACAGTTCATGATAAATGAAGATACTATTGCATCTCATGCCAACGTATTTGGACACTTTTAAATCTTTTTCTCAATTGAATTTCCATGTTCACAGCTGAGAAAACGCTGAAAAAAATTTGACAGCAGAAGAAGAAAATCCTCAATGACTCATGATTTGTGGTGCAAGACAAAGACCATTATGTTAGGAAGAGAAAGAGGTCTTTCTTACTACAACTTTGCTTAAGCTTCATTTAGAGACCGGCCTAACCTCCATTCAAGCATTTGGGTGTTTAATTTTAGGAACAATTATTACTGAAAGATACCTCTTCTGAACTCATGCAAAGAGAGTATTAAAACCCTAAACTAGGGTTTTAGGAGATAATTAATAAGAAGGACACCACAAAAACTAGGGTACAAAATCTGAATAAAGAGTTAAAGTTTTCCTTAAAAGCTATATAAAGAAAAAGCAAACCCTAGATCTCCTTGTCCTTTTGATCCGTCGGTATCGCCAGCTCATTCACTGGCGTTGTACTTATTTCCTTCCTAAATCTGGCTATATTACGCCCATTTATTCATAAAAACCCATCTATTATTTTTTTTAAAGTGTTCATTTGTTCACTTTTTTTTTACTAAAAATCTAAAGATAAATAAAATGTCTAATCTTTTTATAGTAAAATAAAATATATCATACTCAACAACTTAAAAAAACAATGACGATAAATTACTCTTTCAAAATAACCTCAATAAAAACCCAACAGTTGAACTCGAACTCAAACTATTTAGCTCGAGCCAGCCACCCTCTTCTAGCTAAACGTGAGCCGCGGGATTTTCACTTTCATCATAATGAATGATGCTTCTCTCTGCATTTTTTGACCCCATTGAACCACAAGTTTAAAAAATCGAACATGGTCAAGTTTGTAAACTGTGCATCCATGCATATTGCTTATCACTGCCAGATGCTTATCTTCTGAAAATATGATTCGGTCCTTGCACCCAAATGTAATGAAAAAAAAAAGGCAGCTCCAATGGATTCTACCCAATACCCACTTTACTTTTAACCATTGGCTGTTGAAAAAACCATTGATGGTTGTAGTCTCACTATCTTTGTGGTTGAAATTAAAAAGAAGTTTTCGAGTGAGACAAATGGTAGTGGAAATTTTTTCATGTTAATGAATATATATGATAAAATTCTAGTAAGGAAAAGGGAAAAGAAGTCAGTGGTGTGGAAAGACAAAGGACTGTTTCTTGGAATCCTCATAGAAAGTTTTCCAAGCGTATTTCATAAAAATGAAGCAAGAAGGGGATTGGTCTAGAAAAGAGGGTTACTTCTTTATTTAGTTTATCGATTATGGTAGAACTTTGGAGGAAAAGAAAGCTTCCTAGTTACTTCACCTACGTCCAGACCAAGAAAAAACAAGAAAAAAAATTCATGGAGGATTCTCTGTCTCCAAAATTGGCCATTGCATGGCAATTAAACATGTGATGACAAAAAAAATCACATCATGCGCATGACATTGACATGCATGAATTCAAAAAAATCATATATCAAGCTCCCCCTACTTTCTTAGATATAAATATAAGCATCTACTTGCTAAGTAGTAATAGTGTAAGAGGGTCCCTACAGAATTTGTTAGGGTTTCTCCTTGATTTTCCTTCTTTTCCATGCTGTTTTGAAAGCTCATGGCATGCTTCGACATATATAATTCCGAGCACAAAAGTCATCCTCACTGCACTCCAATGAGTCCAAGAATCTCTTTCTCAAATGATTTTGTTGAGACTCAGCAGATTATGAAGCAAGAAAGGAGCTCATCAAGAGAGGCTCCAGTGTCCTCAGACTTTGAATTCTCAGTGTCAAACTACTCCATGATGAGTGCTGATGAGCTTTTCTTTAAGGGCAAGCTTTTGCCATTTAAAGATTATTGTAGCAATCAAATGCAAAGGACTTTGAGAGAAGAGCTTCTTGTTGAGGACGATGATGATGATAATATGACACTGAGGCCTCCTAAGAGTTCCACATGTGGAAGGTGGAAGGGATTTCTGGGCCTCAAGAGAACCCAGAGTGGTTCCAAAAAAGCTGACAAGAATGAAGGGTCTGTGGAGAGAATGGGTGACAGTAAAACGTCTGGTTTTTTTCATGAGGAGACCCTTGTTTGCAAGACTTCGCAGGTAAGAATATATACCAAAAGAAAAGAAAGGGAAATAAAACAGGAAAAAGAGGAACTTTTTTTCTTTATGAAGCTAACTATGGGTTTGTTTGATCTGATTTCATCAATGGTCTTTGTTGCAGGACCTCTTGACCGAAGGAGAGTCAAGTTGCAGGGATGTGGCAATTGGAATATAGTTACTTTTCATGGAGGGGATATTGGTGGTGGCTTTCTTCTTGTTTTTGGACGAGGTTTGGATAAATTTGAAGGACGTAATAAATTAAACTTGAATTGATCTTTCTCGTTTGTTCTTCCATTGGGGTTTAGTGTTCTTATTTTTCTTTTTATCTCTTAGGAGTTGGTGTTTGGCTGTTCGTTTGTACAAATGTTTGCAGTTCAAGAACTTCTTTCTAATGTTCAGCAATTGATAGATCTGTCTTAGGTCATGGTTTTTCTCATTTGGATCTACTCATATAATTTTGACTTTAACTTGAATATGTTCATCTCTTTTAATATCTTATGGAAGGTGTACGAACCTTTTTTCCTTTTTTTTTTTCCTTTTCGTCTTGTTTGTGTTCGGATGATAGGGATCCTTAAACGATAAGTGAATTCATATTACATTGATTCAAATTATGTAAAAAAGAAAAAGATCCTTTGAATGTGGCCAAAATTCCCACTTTGAAACAAAGGCTTGGCAAAGAGCGGCAGTGACCATTTTCCCTTATTTTAGTTTTCGACTTCTTCCCAAAATGTGTCTGATGTTTATGAAGTACTCCATGAAACAAGAACTTGGCAGTGTTTTAATCAAAAACATGTTAACAAGTATTCTACAGGGAGGTGGGGCGGAGGACCGGAAGAGGAGGTTTGAGTGTGGACAAGGTGACTGACTGGCAAGTGATCAGCTATTAATGTGACATCTAATGCCCGACTGTTCATCTATGTCGATGACTGTTGACTACTTGTTCATGGTATAGCTATTAGGCCATCCCAATCTTACTGTCGGAAAATAAACACTTGTGTCTACTGTTGAGTATTTGAGTTACTTTCTAAGCTTTCATCAAACCAGGTAAGAAAGTGCCAATTCATGAAGTAAATAAATGTAAATAAAACTGCAATCAGGACATACTCTATCTCTGTCTGGTCTCAAACTATATTCACGATTGTCTTATTGCCATCGAGGCTGAAGCATACTTTAGTTGATCCTATTTGCCAACCTCAACCACGATCTTAGAATAAGATCCTTTACCAGATCACAATTATCCCATTAACATCGAAATAAAGATATAAGCATTAAAGCCTCATGCAAGGGAAAGAAAGAGCAGTCCTATCATTTCTCCAGTGTCACCTAATCATCCAAGTTAATTCAGAAAAAAGCAAATAATAACGAAACCATAACAGGCGATGAAAGCTAAACTGACTATAAATCTCACTACCGTTTACAGATTTCCTACAGCCTGGTAATCTCCAGTCAATATCTTGATACAAACTAGGATTGGTATCTTGCTAGAGTCAGAGGCATTATGCATACATAAGGGCAAGAAAATAACTGTGGATATGAACCATCATTGCATCTTAAAGGCAATCTCACCATGGAGCCTTAACTTCTTCCTCAAATCTGAGCTCATAGATTTCTGCTTTAGAATGCAAGCTACCAATTTCAACTCCAACCGTTTTACAGGCATCCTTCAACTCAGCAAGTTTTGCTTCAAGATTTCTTATCTCGTCCTCTATCTGAGCTCGCTCAGTTTTAGCTTCAATGTACCTCCTTGCGTCCGCAGAACCTTCTGATTCAAATGCAAGGTTTACAAGCCGGTGTAGTTGAGTTCTTAAGAATCCAACATTCATGCCCAACAGCTCAAAGGCTTTCAAGGTCTTGTTCCAACTATCGAAGTCGTCTCGAGATGTTGTGAGCTTGCTAGCTCTTATGGCATCAGCAATATTGACAGTCTCGGAAATGGTTCCAACTATCAATTTAAAATTTATACCCTGGATAATGTTTTCATGAAGGAAAGAATTTTGACTACAGCATAGCTTGTAGTATTTATCACGAATATCTTCTGAGAGCTCAGAATCTATAACCGAACCATCAACCAAAATGTTGAAGTTCTCAAAACTTGTTATGTCTTTGAATTGAATGGTAGGCACAGATCGCTTGAAACCTTCCAAAACTTCTGAACCAACTTCTTCACTATCATTTTCAGATTGCTCTGCTGGCTGCTCAAGATTACAAGCCAACCTCTGGAGGCCAGACCTCTTATTCTTCTTTTGAACAACAGCTAGTGGAAGAGATTTTGGACGTTTTCTCTTTGTACACTTAAAGACCGTTGTATCAGCTTCTGGATCATCTATTTTTCTTTTCGGAAATTCAGTTATAATGCAAATATCCTGACGTTTCCTCTTTGCACTCTTAAAGACCATTGTATCGTTTTCTGGGTCATCCATTTTTTTTTTCAGAAATTCAGTTATAATGCATACATCCTGACATGTAAACATGATAGTTAAGATACCAAACAAAGACATCAATCAACTTGCCTGCATCACTTTGTTTTGTATGTGCATCCAAATTTAGGAGGCCAAGAGCCCCATCCAGTTCAGTCAAATCATTCGCCCTTATTATGTATACCTACAAAAACAAAAGGTTGATATAAGCCAGAGATAATAGTAATTAGTAATGTAAATGACTGAATTTTCAGGAAAACACAAACATTTAATGAATCTCAGTCGTGGATCTCCCCCCCTCTCTTCTCTCGTCTCCCTTTCTCAAAAGGAAAAAATAAAAAGAGAAAATAAGCAAATCTCAACAAAGAAAGAAGCCTGATGCACCAGATTCCCCTTAAACTAATGCAGTCTCAAGTTTTACCACTTTACGGATGGGCCATGTTAGAAACACTGTCAAGTAGTCCTTTTATTTCACTGGTATAATGGCTTGGAATAAACCTTATATGAACTCTGCACTAGTTCTCTATCCCCTGTTGTTCCTATCAAAACTTTATAAGCTATGTCATAGTTGACTGGAACTAAATTTATTGCTCTCCATTCCTGTGCAAATCAAACTTCAAAAAAAAAAAAAAAATCTGTAGGTCATTGATGAGTGATATATTGGCTGGCTTAAGTGCTATGGATCATTCTTGATAAAACAGTAAATTTTGCATGTAAGATGTCTAACCCTCATTGCAATATTACAGGTATTAGGTCAACCCCAGACTTTTAGTTACATCCTTCTTAGGCCTTCAATATTTGACCTCTTAATAAGGCACATACAGATTCAGAATCTTTAACAATCAGGTTTCATGCATTCACCCCAACTACATCTAGATTGCTTTTCCAGCACTCGCTGCTACTATACCGTTTCTTCCCAAGATATCATTGTACTGCAATTTTAAAAGGAACTTCAGGTTCTTAACATCTTTGATAATAACCCCACCACGCATTCTCAAAGTTATATGGGTGTCAATTAGACATAAGCCTATTGTGTTTGGGATATAACTTTTGACTAAAGACTAACTATGATAACTTGGATTTCAAATACATGAGCAATAACTTCTTAAGTTAGTGCAAGAAGCTGTAAGGGTTTTTTTCCACATCTGATAGTTTATCAACTTTTAAATAACTAATTAGATGTAAAATCCATGTGATCAAAACCAATCTTCTCTAGCAAGTCCAGGGCTAATAGTAACAAAATATTTACAATTATTAAGCAGATCCTTTTGTATCTGGTTGCAGTCGCAGAATCTAATACATTCCACCTTACTGAAGCACTAAAAGATACCATGAGGAGAGAGTGAGAGAGAGAAAGGCTTCAGTCTCTCCCGGACCATCAATGACAAAACTCATCATAGTAACAGTGGTCCTTTGGTGTCACATTACTCAGCCAACTTCTTTAAACCCGAAATGGTTTCTATTTTTCTGAACAAGGTGTTCATTAGCATTGTTTCTAAATGCAGGTGGATTTCATGGATGGGGAAGCAAACTTGGCGAATCATCTATTTTTCCAATAAAAGTGTAGAGCTATGTAATAAACTAAGCTATATGTAGTCAAACAAGGTTTATGCAGCTGCTAATGAAAGAAATTGACTAATAATATCAGAGTAACATAGAGCTGAACAAATCCTCAGGTAGTTTTGACAAGGTGAATTCTAATACTAACAGCTGCTAATGAAAGAAATTGACAATTAATAATATCAGAGTAACATAGAGCTGAACAATCCTCAGGTAGTTTTGACAAGGTGAATTCTAATACTAACATCTAGTTATACCAGGACAACAGCACAAACGTTGAACTTGTCTTTCCTCATTTTTAACAACATAATACATGCAAGATCATGGAAAACTTTAGTATTCATCAGGAGATGGAGATATTCTCACATCTAGCAACACTCTTAACACATGATAATGTTCCAAGATAAGACTTTTGTAACACAAGGATAGTCAATTTGATCAAATTGCTTAAGTAGCCAGTGCACTTGCACCTAGATCATTAAATTTCTTTGTTTGATCATGTGGATAAGACCTGCTCTACCTAGAGAGAAAAAGCCCAAATTCTAGACAAATACCCAGTTCCTCCTCTATCTTATAGAAAGCGACATTTACAATGTTTGACATCCCAGCCATTCTGACACTGCAATCAGCCCACTTCCTCATAGAAAAATCACCTAAGTCTCCATTACCAGCAACATAGTTCTTCTTAACCCCTTCATTGTTTTTTGTAAGATGTAGTGGAGGGAAAACAAATAGGCTAAACACAACATTGTTGATAATGCATGCAAAGAAATTCCATTCTCATAAAACTTGGAATTGTTTCTAATTTTCTAAGATTAACATACGTACGAGATGAAGCAAAAACTCCTTTGTGGATGTGAATTAGTTTTATTTTTGCATAGTAAATCAATTGCTCCAAACTGCTCCCCTATATGTTCCAACAAACCAACAGCATAAGAGGATCATATGGACCATATATGAACCATGAAGATACCATGCTGAAATTTCTACAAATGTCAACATGACACGTATGGGGCAAGGAGTGCACTCTTGATATGGATTACATCCCCTCCCCACCTTTTTCTAGCCCTATTTTTGTAGCATTGCATTTTTTCATTTAAGCTTTCATAAACATATAAGTATATGTTTTACCAGCAACTATTTTGTCAATATTATTGTAATAACACATACTATTACAAAACATTGCATTTTATGACCAATTCCCAAATTAACCCTGCCCCCCAATCAGAGTGGGCACCTGTCAAGGGTACGGGTGAAGGAAAATTTGCATTCATAGAACTATCTTCTAATCATTAAACTCCAATGTCTAGGGAGAAATGTCAAACTAAATACAATCACAGATTGCATTTAAGCAATATAAACCTCAAAACTACAAACAACCTAACTCAACAAAAATTGAAGATCAAGAAGAATGGCTATTGGAAATATAATTTAAAACATTACCTTGAACTTGGTTGGTTCAACTAACTGGAAGACCAAAACATCTCCCTCAAGCAAATTATGCACACTACAAAACTGTCTCCAACCAGCACTCAAACCCGTTTTATCAGCATAGTATTTTACATGAAATTGGCGCTCACTCTCGTCTTCCAAAATGATCATAGTATCTTTCCTAGGCAGATGTATTTTACAGAACATCCCAGGAAGCCCCTATCAAAAGGGAAAAAATGGTCACAGAAAAGAAAAGTATACCTCAAAATTCTCGATTAATACAATTATCCAAGGTGAAATTCAAGCATTTAACAAATCTAACCATCCAAAAACAGCTTCCAACATGTGATCTGACCAAAGATTTTGCAAAACTTGGAAATTCGGGTTCTAGGTTTGACTGAACCTCATCTGCACGAATCATAGCTGGTGACTTAATTTCAGGAGTGCATTTGCCACCATCTCCGCTGATATTTTTCTTAGAGCTTCAAAAACACAAAGCTAGACATCATCAATCAATGAAACCACAAGCACTCAAGTAGCATAAATAGATCCCATTTCTTTTAGATACTTCACTAACCTTATTTGTTTCCCTCCAGAATCCGACACTGCCTGTCAGAAAACCTATTTGTTAGTGCTAATTCCAATTTAATCTGAGCTAAAAGACAAACAGTTCTAGCTGGAAGCTCCCTTCCCAGTCCACACGCCAACCACTTCCTTTGACACTTTCAAAACAATCTCTGAAATTTAAACTTAGAAAAAAAAAATCTAAACCAAGACAACCACTCAAATACTGCTTCTCCTAACTATGACTTTGAAATTTTGAAATTACAGTTAGTTATTAGACAATGAATGTTTCCAATAACCGTAACGAAAATATCTAACAATTTTAAACAATAAAAAAGAAGAAGAAAAGAAGTTTTACATGTTTGATTATGGACTCGGATTGGCTCTTCTTTCGCTTCTCTCTTCTCTCCGTTAACGCCTTATCATTCTTCTTCTTTCTCTGAAATAATAATGATGATGATGATGATGCAACGAAAATACTTCTCAATCGAGCAAAAACAGTACCGAACTTTCTAAAAATTAAAAAAAAAAAAAAAGCTACAGATATAAGCACGAGATCTAACGTATTTCTAAGTAGTTTCTACTGCTTTTTTTTTTTCTTAAATTTCAACAATCCAAACAGAAAGTAAGAGAGAGAGAGAGAGAGAGAGAAAGAGAGACCGAGGAAGAAGGCTTGAGGTTAGGAGTGTGAGATAACTGAGCGAGAGTCAAGTCTTCTTCGCCAGCATACTTAAGTCTCCGACCAGAAAACGACGTCGTTCTCTGCTGCATCTCTTCAGCTTCCTTCTTCACCCTTTGATCCATAACCGGCAAGTCGGTTAAAAGGCAAAGACTCCGAAGAAGAAGAAACCTCTTCCTATGTCCCTCTCTCGAATGTAAGGGCTTTTTTTTAAGATTTTTCTCTGTTTTTATGCTTTATTTGAGGATAAAGTTGAATTAATTTTATGGCTAAATTAACCGTTTATAACTGTTTTTTTTTTTTTAAGATTCCTTTTTTTATTATTTTTTTGATTGGGCGCCCAATATTTGGGTTTTCGTCTCATTTACGCGCCCATTGAAAAAATTTTGTCTTTCAAAATCGTCCACATCACGGTTCACGCGGAATAAGTGAGTCTCACGTGGTCTCCATGTGTTACTGGATTCTGCTGGGCCTCTATCTTTGCTTTTGGGCTGGGCTTATGCTCTTTACCACTGGACTTAACAATGAAAAGAATATCTATCCAGTCAATTAAGTGAAGCCCATTAGGCCTAAAAAATAATTAAAGCCCACATATTTTATTGGCTAAATGCTTAATTAAGGATTTAATGTTTACATAATTTTTTAATTAAAAATCTCAACTTTAATTTAGTTTAATATAAGATATAACATTTTTGAATTCATTCAAATAAGGCCATCTATTATAGTTATGGTTTACATACATAAAAAATAACAGGATATAACATTTTTTAATTCATTCAAATAAGGTCCTCTGTTATAGTGATGGTTTACATACGTAAAAAATAGCGTAAATTACTATTATGCAACATAATGAATAGTGGAAATAGCTAAAAACTTTGTCTTTTCCAACTTCTCTTTTCAAGCAAACTCTATCTTTTCAAAAATTAACCTCTTACTCTATCAATCGTGTCGTCAATGACCATCGCCAGTCTTTCTCTTTCACCAACAGCATAGTTTCTTAATGACTAAAATCAGAATCTTTGATTCAACCCATTTTCGACATTTTTCTCTTTCTAAATTTTCAAATCAAAATTCAACTACAACCTAGAAAATAAAGAACTCAAGAATCACGAAATCTCACCATCAAAATCCAATGCCGTTCGTCATTCACTGTACTACCAATTGAGTAGCACCTCTTCCCTTTTCTAACTCTGTCTGAAAATCCAAAAAGAATCAAACCCAAAAAAAAAATATTTGCTAATGAATTATTGATACTTGTTATTGTAGCTATTTTTGTGTATTTAAACTAAAGTTGTTAATATCGTACCAAATAACGTTTTAATTTTTTTTAAATATAATATATATTGATACCAATTATTTCGATATATTATTTTGGATTTTTCGGTTTAGTATAAATATATTTAGAAACATGTATGAACTTACACATTATAATATTATTTCTAATCTACAAAATAAACATGCAATATATTCAAAAATCAAATAAATAAGTTTAAAGGCATAAGAAATAATATCATAAAATTTTCATGATATTTTTAAATACTTAATATGATCATATGATATTTAAATAAGTATTTTTTATATAAATATTAAGATAAAACCAAATAGATGAAAAAATTAACCAAGGTTTTATAATTGTTAAACTTTATAAAATGAGTATAATTGTTTTCTTGAAAAAAAATTGAAATACTTATAAACTTAGGTTTAAAAAAATAAACTATAAAATTATAAAATTTGGTTTGAAAAAATAAAAATTAAAACTTAACTTTTAAGGGTTATTTTGTCAATTAAATTTATTTTATTAGGTTAAAAATAGTCAAATATCAAAAGATAAGTTAAAAATTAAAAATTATATCTTATATTTACGTACCAACTAAAACATGTTCTTCTATTGAAATTCACTGAAAATAGGCCAAAATTAATGAAAAAAATCAGTATTACACGATACCAAATCCAGTATAAAAAATTATCGTTAAGTGTACCATATTTTTGTATAACTGAAGCATACTAGCCGATACCGAAACGAAATTAACAATTATATTGAAACTCCCTTGTTCGATCAATTACTCAATTAAGACTAGTTACTGATTGATAATATTGTTGATGAATTTGCTTTGTTGATTGCCTAACAAAAAAATTTTCCTTAGCCCAAAAAGCTTATAAGAGCAATTGCTTTACTATGTATTTTTTTGCCCTTTCAAAAACTCAAAAACTTTGCCCAAATTTCTTGCTTTTCAATGGCCTCTTATTGTGCATTGCTATTGTCTGGCCTCCCTTGATTGTTTGAAGCTAATTGTTGTGCTTAATTTTGCTTCTTGCCTCCGTATTGATTATTAATTGTGACTATGCTTAATTTTTGTGTTTCTTTCGATTGGAGTTAATGGCTAAATGGAAAATGTTAATAGAGAGTGGACTTAACTATGTGTGTAAGCCACAGTTGTAACTTAGTTATTATTTGAATAAATTCGAAAATATTATATCCTACATTTAACCAAATTCAAGCTAAGATCATTAATTAAGCAACCACCCAAATGTTTTAATCTCAAATTGAGCATTTAGCCTATTTTATTTTAATAAGTGAAAATTTTCTTTCAGCTTTCAATATATAATTAAGGGGAAAATGCAATTATTCTCCCAAATCATGTTTATTTGAATTTTATTTTGATTCTTAAATTTTAAATTATTTCATGATAGTTTTAAATCTTTTAAAATAATATCAACATAGTCTTCCAATCAAATTTTGCAAAATAATTACATCTTAGGGTAATAGATCTAAAAGTAATACTCTTTACTATCATGTTAAAATATATTTATTAAACAATAAATAAAACTTTTGAAATTTTTAAGAATAAAACGGAATTATGATTTTTGTCTTTGATTTTAAAATTTTAACTTAAAATCAAGGTAAAAAATGATAATTTATTTTCTTTCACAATAATTATAAAAAAATTATTTTCTTTCTAATAAATTAACAGAATTAGCAAAAAATAATAATTATGAGTCCACCATGATTTTATTGCTTTTATTTATTCTTATTTTATCAAATTTTATTCCCCCTATATTTATAAATTTTATCAAAGAATATAAAATTAAATCTCATTAAAATAAAGCTAAAATTTTTAAAAACGAAACATATCCAAATGATATTTTAACATTTAAAGTAAATAATAATTAATAATTCTATAAAGTGCTTTTTATAAATTATTGTTAAAGTTTAAAAATTAGACTGACACTGAATGAAATAATTTTTCTATCTTTTCATATTACACAAATCCAAAGTAACTCATTTCCATAATTTACTGATCGCATTTCCATCCTTAGAAGTCCTAATTTGGAAATTTATTGAAATATGTAACGTTTTAGGTTCTGTAAATGACATGAGTCATGATCATCATATTAACATCACACACACACATATATATCATCTATCATCTATATATAAAATTGTGAACTCCAAAAGTGTTAATAATAATTAACGTAAATACTCTTATAAATTTTTAAATTAACAAATTTACCTTTAAATATATAATTTTTATCAATTTATTTAAGTTTAGTTTAAATCAACTAAAATTAAAAATAGAGTTTATGTGAAATTAAACTACTTAAAATTTTAATTTCAAAAGTGTTAAAAGTGATTAGCTAAAATATCTTTAGTAAATTTTTTATAAAATTTAATTTAAATGTATTTTTATTATAAACTCTTTTTTAGACTAAAAAAGTATTAAAAATGATTGACTAGCAATAATATACATAGATGATTTTAATTCTAAAAATGTTAAAAGTGATTGATAACAATATCATTAGTAATTTTTTATAAATTTTAATTTAAATGAATTTTTTTAATTATTAGATTTTTTTTTATAAGCAGAATAATTTTTCATATAAAATAAAAATACAAATAGAATGAGATCAAAATTTAATGTGCATAAGAATAAAACAATTGTATGAAATTTGTTTATTTAGTTGTTGTAAAAATAACTCTATATGTAATTTATGTTGATAAATAAATTCATTAAAAATAATCATAATGAAGTCATTTAAGTATATATTTTTTATTTTTTTCCTTTCAATTTTTTTGTTTTAATATATTAATTATATATGTATGTTAATGATTTTATTATTTATATGTTTTATGAGTTGATCATTTGATCACTGATAATATAATTAAATCTTTTTAGTCATTTGAAATAATTTTTTAACATATCATTTTTACAATTTAGTTTGACCTTTATAATTAATTTTATTTTTATATTTGTTTCTCTAGAATTTTGTAATTATTATTCCCAAGAACAAAAACTAATATTAAATTAAATGCAAATAAATTTTACTCCTCTACCAATAATTAGCAATATGTGATTCATTGAACTTTTTTATTGAACCTTTTACCTGTAAAATTAAATGATTCATGAGGTGGTGGAATTACAAGTAACTCAAGATTGGATTCCGTAAAATTGCTATAAGAATTATTTACATGGATTGAAATAATAATTAATTTAGTTTTCTCTAAACTTTTATTTTAATATGTATATATATATATGATTAATTTATATTTCAAGATTATATAATCTTTCTAAATTATATTAAATTGCTCACCTTTTTTTTTTGTCATACAAGTGATTGAACAACCTAACATGAATTATTTTAAGTAAAAAAATCAAATGAAGTCAAATTAATTGTTTCTGAAGAATTATTTCAAGGTAAGACAAAATTCATTGGAATTATATTTTCAATGTGTTTATGCAAAAATTACGTTCATTCATAAAAATTTATATTATTAATATTGAAAATGAAATCATTATAAATTGTATAAGTATTGCACAAAAAGTTTGTATTTATGTTGTTAATTTTAAAAATTACGTATTTTAATAATTTTATATAATAAAAATTTATGCATAATAAAATTTTTTAAATAAAAGAAAAACTAAGCTTTCAATTGATATAACATACAATTATATTCAATTAATGGAAGCACCAACCTAAGATTATCTTAAGTAAAAAAATGAGATGAAAGATTGATTGGTTATGCATAACTTTATTTTCTCCATATGACAAAGAAAGTTAGTACAATATAAGGTTTCAATGAAAAATATACTAATATATTGATTTCAAATTTCTTTAAGATTAATATGAAACACTTTTATTTAGAAAATCATTACGTGATATCAAAAATTTTAAGATTGTCATATTAGGTAATATTTTTTTAAATGAAATGAAATTTATCAAATTAATTATCACATTATAT